TTTGTGCCCAGTGGCATAAGTGGCACAGCAATAGCTGTGGCTATGCTGTTTTTTTGAGTGGCACATGTTTGATTCTCACTTAGGAAAACTTTTTTCGGGCCCTCCCATGGAATAATTGTGAAATGGTTGTTTTTGTGTACACTAAGGAGTGGAGGGTATGAAAAAAAAAAGTTTTATAAGTGAGAATTGAACATGTGCCACTCAAAAAAAACAGCATAGCCACAGCTATCACTGTGCCACTTATGCCACTGGGCACAAACAAGTGATCAGTAACCAAGTAATATATAAACTGTTAAACTTTGCACACACCCAGATATTGACTTCACAACCTTGGATGTTGTCATATCCGTGCATACCCGACCCCAACCCGACTTCCGGACCTCCACCCTCTTCACCTCCGGAGTCATAACCTACCGCTGCCGTTCCGATACTCACCTTCGGTCCTGGCAACACACCTCCTCCTTACCTCTCCGACCCTATCTCCGTCCGCTCCAATACTCATCTCGGACTGAACACCGCCCCTCTCGCCACCCTCCTACTACTCTGCTCCCCCTTCACAACACCTCCACCCTCCCGTCATCCTCCTACGCTTCCCCATCCGCTCCGATACTCACCTTTGGACCTGACTACTCTCCTTTCCGCCACTCCTTCTCCCTTACCTTTCCCCTCTCTCCTCCCTCTGTTACTCCTCCGCCACCCTTCCGCCAAGTTACGACCTTCCACCGCTGTCCCGTACTTCGCACTTGGACACCGCTCGTACCTTGCTCCGAGCCTCCGTCATAGTCCCTACCTCGGACTTTGACTCCACCTTGGTCTTAGTCCATTGCATTGGTGACCTCATACTATGTAAACACCATTGCCAATATCCCTCGGACTTTCAACCCCGCCTCCGTAACCTCCGTAAGCTCCGCAACCCCCGAGCTTCGCGGATCGCCTTCGGCACTCTCACCGCTTGTAATGTATTTCTCGCGTTTTCCCCTCATCCCTATTTGGACTACTGCTTCTTCCTATTCTAGCCAGTTAGTCATCATCCCCACTTCCCCTCATCCTCCTGCCCCTCTGGGCCTCGCCCTCCCTACCTCCTTTCGGACGTTGTAGGCGGGATAATCGCCCACGCACAGAGCCGGCTCAGATACCCGCTTCCAACATTCAGAAACCACTTCCATTCACGCGACAACTCGATATGAATTTGGTACCCAAAAATAGTCCTAATTCGTACGGTTCTGACGATATCAAGAACGTCCCAATCGGAGGAGATTTGACGGAGTTCCATGTTGGGCAAGTTAGGCACGGGCATGTGCGGGCGTGGGAATCTCAAGCGGCAACCCAGAATTCCAGCCTCACTCGTTCCCACGGCGTCTAATAAATTGGTAAAAATGCTTATTGGCTGTGTGAGAGTTATCTCCGGCTACATTTCCAATTTAGGCTCTTAATTCCGTAAATCCATTGAGATATCGCTTATTTTCTCTTATTTTCATATTTCACCATCATTTCAGATATTGATTGATATTCTTTTATTGATACTATTACCCTTTTTATTATTTCGCCTAATAAGGTATGCAGGTGCCATATGGTACCAATATTTCCCATCAATTATTCTAAAAATAATTGTTCCTTATATCCTGTACATACCAGATTCTGGAATAGAAGTTCTCCCCTCCCCATTTTCTCTAAGGTGCTAGGACACGCTAGAGAGGGTGTGAGTGTGTGGAATTCCAACAGTAGGAATAAGGGCAACTGTCTAGCCCACAACGAGTGGGTAGTAGATTAGTTGAGCCCGGACCTTGCGGAATCCCGGAGAACCCACACCGGAGTTAAGGATCGAGCATAGCGAAGTTCAGTCAAGAAAGTAGGAGTTTAGGGAGTTTGGCCCCACGAGCTTAGTCGGCATAGAGAGCCGCGAGCCCTCTTTCAACGTATCACAGGTCCTGCCTTATGACCTTCGGTACCGCTCCGCTCCCTCTACCCTTTGTTCCTGTTCAGACGTCTTCGTTCCAATTCGGTTACCCTTTGTTTTCCTTGTGCTTTTGCCCCTTCCATTATATATATCGGCGCTTGTACATACTCGTTTTGGTTTAGTCCGAAATCGACCTGAAATGCCCCCTAGAGACTTCCTGCTCACCTACTGTGAAATTAAGGACCAAATGGACAAACAGCAATGGCACAGCGCTCCGCTTGAGTCGCTGAGGCCAAGGTCCCTCCACGCTAAGTCTCCGATTCCACTCCGGAGTCGTCTGTTCCTGCCCGGTTCTAACAGATGTGCTCCCTTGGTCTCCACAGGTTGGGTTGGGTGTAATGACTGCATGTGTAAATACTAAAAATTATATTCTGCAGCCTATGTACAACTCATTACAACTTAGCGTGGGAACATCACATGTTGCAAGTTGTACCAGTCGCTCAACAGATTTCGGAGGCAACATAAGTTGCAGTTTGTCATGGCCATGCATTCCGGCCCGTTCCCCGCCCGTCCTGATGCTGCCCGAGCCCATTCCCGCTATGCGGGCGTGAGCGCAAGCCCTGACCTCAGCCCTATCCTCCATGAGGACTCCCTGCTCACTCCCCCGCTTGCCCCTAGGCTCCCCTGCACCTGGCTGACTCTGTCAGGGCCCGGCCTCAGACTCGGAGGCTCCCTGACCTCAACCCCCATCTAACCTGTCCTCACACTATGCGGGGCATGAGATGTATAGTAAAAGGAAAGATAATATACACTTGCCTATGCGGGGCATGAGATGAGAAGAAGGGTAAAGGTCTCATCTCCCCGCATGGTTGCTATATAAAGGAATGGGTCACATGCCCACAACTATACAGCTCCTAGAGTTGTGTAGTGTGACCCGGAGGGAACATCCAGGTGGCAGTGCCCAGTAAGCGTGGGAACGTTCTGGGCAAGTTGCTTGCCCAGAACTGTGGCTGTGACCTGTGGGAACATTCTAGGCGAGCTGCTCACTCAGAAAGTTCCCACGCTATCCCGTGTGCGCGCGTGTACACAACACACAAAGGCAACAACAAGGCAACAGTCAAAGAATAAAAGGGGGTAAAGTAGGTGGGGAGTCCGGGGCACCCTAAGGCAGGGTGCTGAACCCTGACAGACTCCCCCACAGCCACACCAACCTTCCCGCCCTGAGTCCACCTCCTGCACCGTGCCCAGCATGACTCCTCTACCCCGCCCACTCGGCCCCTACAGGGCTGCTACCATTCCCGCACCCGACTCCAGCCCAACTCCAAGTCCGGCACCGCTATGATACCATCGCCGCTATCGCGGCCCTACGCTCCTTCCTTTATTTATCTGTTATTGTTTGTTTTGACCCTCGGTCATTGCCGGCCGCTGTGCGGCCAACCCCGCTCCTTGTTCCCTTTTGCTTCCAGACCCTTCGGCCTTCGGCCCGGGTCCGCTTCAATTCATTCTGCCTTCATATATATATCCTGTATAGTACTTTAGCTCTAATATCGATGTGACCATGACCCCTAAGTCCTGACCCCAACAAGGCAACCCCAGTGAGTCTGAAATGAGGGCCAAGAGACAGCTAGGGGGCACAGCACTCCCTTTAGAGTTGCTGAGGCCGAATGCCCTACCCTCGGGCCTTGTTTGAGGCATCGCGGCCATCGCGGCCTGCAACGGCAACCCTCGGTGCCGACCCCGGACCAGTGTCTAACACAGCTAAACCTTGGAGAAATCATGTGAGTGACTGGGAAGGAGTCTGGCATGGACAGTGAGTTTGGACAGCCACAAGTATTTGCAGACTCGTGTCCAAAAAAGCATTTTGCATTTTTCTCAACAATTTATTGGTCAACTTAGTCTCAAATCATATATTCTGGAAGCTATTCAATGGGGCTATCCAACTATGTAAAGTGTGTCTAGACCATGGGAAACAGTCTTGACACCCTTCTGGACAGCAGCAAGCAATGTGCACAGACAATGAGTCAGGGTTCGCTACAATACAGTAATTTCAATTGCAGGTTCCCAATACAAAAGAGCCTGATGTGTGATGTGTGCAATGTGTGCAAAGTCTGCAAAGTCTGCAAAGTCTGTTATGTGACACATGCGGTGCATGGGAAGTTGCCGATAGCAGCATGTGCACTTTGACATTGCAGCAATTTTTTTCGGTAACTCACTTCATAAGTTTCGCTTCGTTACCCACCATCTTGCCCACTTGGGTTGGATGTCGCTCAAGTGCACTATGGTGCCCGACAAAGACAGAGAACTTGCAGTCACGAAGTCCTCATTTGTAAAGTGAGGGTCGATGTTGCCATTTGTGAAGTGAGTACCGGGGTTGTCTTCCATTATTGCCAGCCCATGGCTGGTACATGACCTGTGGACGAAGCCTTGAAGCGGGCGGACTCAAGTACATATGCTTCGAAAAGTTGAACATGCCGGCAAATACTACTTGGGAAGCAGCGAGGGCATCGGGCGCGGGTTAATACTTAACTGGGTTATACCGATGCACTAAACACCCGAGAACTTCAGGTACGATGATGGCGAGGGGGGACGACCATAACACAATGATACATAATTTCGTTGAATGGTCGCATGCTATTGGGAATCACATGAGAAGTAAATGTAATATAAACACATTTTTTCCCACGCAATTGTGGGTTTGGAAGTGACCTTGCAAGCAAGGTAACATGCCATCAGCTTTCTCTGCCATATTCGGAATGTACGACGCGGCTAGGAGCGACAGGTCAGGTACTTCCTCGTTCAATGCACGATATGTCAGGCAGAACCAGCCTCTATGCCTTCTCGACTCTATGTATAGCCCTTGCGATGTACGTTCGTAGCTAAGGAGCCCTTGTCGATGCTGCGCCGCGACAAGTGATCACTTCGGCCGGTCCGGCTGCAAACAGACCTCAACATCTGGTTGCAAAAGTACGTATACTTGCAAAGCCATTTTCAATCAGCGATCGAGGGGAATTCATCACTGCCATAACATCCACTACATAACGTATCGAACGAAATTAACAATTCCTCCAAGGCAGGACCCCAGCAAGGAGCACGTGAGAATATCTCAGAGGCGAGCTGCCTTAGGAGGATATTGGGCCTCGAACTGGGTTCGCAGAGGACGCCGCATCGTCTTTCCGACACTATTCTTAGGCACCTAAACATAACATCCTGAGCCAGTTCTCTGTGGGATCATGCACTTACGCCACTCACCTCACTGATGAACTCTATCCCGCCCACTATCCATTTAATCTTGCTTAGGCGTTCACGAACCACAGAATCGATAACCTGTGCACACTTCTCCTTGCCAATGGCCCTCCCTTTGAGAGAAGGTACGACCCAGGCACGCGGAACCAATTCCTCAGCCGCAGCTGACCTCTTGACTCTCTCTGCATGCTCAAGTGGACCGTTTGCCAGTGATGCCGCTAAAACAGAGGCTGGGTTGACCCCAATGACACAAACATCATTTACAATCTCCCGGCAATGCTTTAGTATAGTTTCCTCAATTTCTTGGGGAGAAACTTGTGATCCTGATATCTTCATGACGTCCTAGGTGGAAGTGGATGGGATATTGGTATGATGTTCAGAGGGAGACATCTAAAGACAGACCTTGATCCTTTCAACGAACCACAAACTACCATCTTGGTCCGCAATGAACTTTGGCAGATCAAGTGAGTGGAAGGACAAAAAAGCAGGCCTGAAATACTGCAGCCGCTCACCAGATCACCGGTTCGGAGCCAGTCATTCCCTTCGACACCAGGCACTGTCACTCGAAACGTCTCCTGCGTAGCGAGCTTGTTGTTCCAGTACCCAAGAGCGATGTTCGGCCCCCGGATACATAACTCCCCAACAGAGAATCCTCGTGGTAACTGTTCACTCGATCGCCCGGGACCATCACTATCATGACGGAGGACAGCCTCTGTGTTCGCAACAAGAGTCAATGCACTTGTGGTCAAGAACCCAGGCGGTGCCAACTTTGGGGCTCTGAATGCTGGCGAAGCAATTGAAACTGTCTGTTGAGTATAATGAGGGGGGGAATGAATCCGGCAATGTCGGTGTCTTACCGCTTCGGATGCTCCAAAATACTGTTAACAAAGAACAGGTTGAGTAGGCAAGGGCTCGAGGGCGAGTGTTCCACACTTACCGAACCTACAGAGACGTTCGTGGCGATATGCTCATTTGACGGCCTCTCTAGGATCTTGTAAAACTCTTTCACTAGCTCGGGCGACAAAGCCGCAGAAGCTGAAACCACACTTGTGAGGGTTCCTAAAGCACCCCGGAGGGAGCTTGAGTCGTTCTCTTTCAACAGCAGTGCATTTACCAACTGCCGTATCATTGTCGGAACCAGTAGGGCTGTCTGAATCTTATACCTACTGACTGGGTCAAATAGACAGCTACTGAGGTAAGGGATTTTCCTGACTTTTCTATGGCTCGCAGAGCCTCCCCGACCTCCCAGCGAGGGAGGATGACGTAGGTGTTGACTGTAGCGTGGTTACTGTCAATAACATAATAAGCATTCCCTTCGTGGTTGCTCACAATGAGCAAAGCTCAAATACCTCAAGCAGGTGCTGAAAAATCCGTATGTGTGATACATTGGTAGAGTGGCCAGGCATGGAACCCCTTGCGGGGACGATATCCCCAGGGCTTTCAACACGACTTGCATTGCGGCCCTACCCTGCAGCATGGAAGACATCCTGCGATATGTTATTAGGACTAGAAACAGGCTACAAGAGTGGACGTACACATTCCCATGACTAATCATTACCGCCTTTGGCATCCCGGTGGTGCCACTCGAAAAAATCATATACTTCTCTACATCAGCATATTCACATCATCATCGCATTTGTTTCGCCTACCGCTATATCGTTCCTCTTTACATTGCACATTAGTAGAGTCTGCATGGAGATTGTATCGACAAGCAAAGCATCCAAATCTCGTCCATCCTTCAACTCAACGATCTGGTCGGGCCCTCCGAGCCCACTACTGGAGAATGCAACTCCAGAAAATGTCATTGTGGACTTCAAATATTTAATGTGGCGTCCAAGAAGAGATTTGGTGATAAACACCCGGGACGGAGTGACCAAATCGACCGCGTGAACGAGCTCATCCATTGTCGCATTGATGTTCAGCATGACAAAGGGGATGCCAGCATAGAGACACGCGTGAACAATAACACTGTAATCCTATGGGAGGAGGGAAAGGCCCAATTAGGATTATGGTACAACTAGTTATTGTAATTGTGGCTCACCATGCAGTTCTCAGCAAGGATGCCAACCCTCTCATTTCTAGTCAATCCCAAGCCACCTTTGGAAGGACTAGTCACCAGCGCAGTAGCAAGCCTCTTAGATCGGACAATATGCTGGCCACGAGTCCTTGAGACTCCAGTCAGAGCATCGATGTACACCGTGTGTGAATCAGGCACATCGATGGTGGGGTGTTCGAACAGGAGCTGATAGGCACTATTTACAGGCACGTCCTCGTAGCGAAGGTGAGACTTATAGATCTTCGGGCTGTCTTCGTGCATTGAGCCTTCGCCAGTCGTACGACGGGCGATGCGTTCCCGATAGAAGTATAAGCCTGGTAAGGATGGACAATACCTCGAACCTACCTATGTTGAGACACGTAGGGCGACAAGGTAACCGGTTGGTCCCGGGCTGAAAATGATCGGAACGGATACTGAGTCAGTCCCGCCATAAGCTTGTCACTCAGGGGTCGATGTCGAATGCACCCCCAGTTACATCAACCAGCGGCTCCTAACGATGCTTCCCTATGCCACGGTGGATCGAACGGATAGCCCCGCTGCCACGGGGATGGAATGGCTGTCATCATCATCCAGTTGCACAATTGCATTCCATCGTCAAAAGCAAGCATCTTCATGATTAAAAGAGGAAGCACAATAATATGCAATATACAGCAAAAGCCAAGAGCTAAACAAAGACAGCAAACCGGGTGAAAAAAAGTTATGCAGTTTCGCTCTTTCGTCGCTTCTTTGACTCCCGCTCCCCATCCTTATCTTTTTTGTGCTTCTTCTTTTCAGGAGATGGCTGTATACACCAACGTCAGTCATGTATTGCAAACAATTTGTCAAATGGATAACACACCTCCGCATTGGCTGCTGCCTTTTCGGCCCGTTTGGCGGCCTTTTTCTCGTCCTTTGACAATTTTTTCGGTGACGGCTCATTTTCTTCCTCAACCTCTTCGCGTTTCCGCTTCTTCACAGGACTCTCCTCATCCTTCTTCTCAGAACCCTCCTTGCCCCTTTTCTTCTCGGGTCTCTCATGACCATCGCTATCCCGCTTTTTCTTTTTCTTCTCAGCCTTCTCCTTTCCCTTTTTTCCTTTCCCATTTACCTTTGGAGGTTCTGGTTCGGCCATCTCCGTGTCACTTTCCTCATCCTCACCAATTTCTTTCAGCACCTGCTGCATCACATCTGAGTTCTTTGACGGTGGTACCCCAGACTAAGCATAGCATCATTAGCGGAAAGTGGAGGGAACAAGAATTGTGTCTGTCACTGACCTCGTAGAACTGGAGACGCTCCTCAACTTGTTGCCGGAGAGCGTCACCGAACTTAATTGTCGGCTTCTCAGAGAAGCAGTCGATACGAGATGCTATCGAACACTTGTTCGCAAGTAAGCGGGAGATGCGACCCTTGTGATTGGCCTTGGCTCGAGAGATGAAAGGAGAGTGATAAAGAAGACCAAACTGAAATGAATAGAGATATCTAAGTGAATCTACCCTTCAAAAAAATTTAATGGCGAACCTTGGGAGTTTTGCCTTTAGTCTTCAAGGCACGGAAGAGTGCCTTTTCTGCCCCAAGAATCTGAACTGTACTCGCCGGGTACTTGCTCAAGTTGGTCAGCGAGCCAGCATGCGAAATCAAACGCGCCCCAAGCCGCTCGCCAAGAAGAGCCGACAAGCTTGGTGCAACAGCGTGCATCTTCTCGGACAAGTAAACGACCAACTCATGACGGTACTCCGCAAGGCCAATAGTCCGCTCCGCGAAATGATTGATGTTGATGGCGTCAATCTCGTTCAAGTCTGACCCCATGCTTGTGCGAGCAGCATCCAAAATGTTCTTGGCCAATGTCGCGTCGCCCCCAAGAATGTCCGTCAAATCATCAAGCTTCGACTCATTTAATGTCGACTTGGACCCGATGAAGCGGACGGCACGAGCATACGACAAGCTGTCGGGCACAATCTTGGCAAGTTCAGGGAAGGTATATCCATACCATTCCCTGATACGCATATGAAACGTGTTGACGTCTTTGTCGAGCTGGTCAAGAAGCGAGATAGCTTGGATGATCATATTGTCGGCACGGTGGACGTTGAACTTGACTTTCCCCCGCGAATAGGCGTGACCAAGACCCAGCTGAGCTTTTGCGAGGTCTCCCGCTTGCAAACCCCGGAGAAGTCTTTCTGCGTGAAGACGTATGCCTCGAATGAGCTCAAGAGAACGGGGGGATGTATCGCAGTTGATGCCGAGAGTAGCACTGAGTGACGAAGCAAGGTTTTTATCAGAAACACCCAAGACTATGGGCTCATTTGATTTCGACTTCAAAAGATTGAGTTCAAGAAGTTCCTTCAAGTAGTCATTCACAATGCCTAGAAATAACCCCGATTTCCAAGCACTAGTCAGTGGCATTTCATGAATAAAACTGCCAAAATAAGCGAACCTTCTGAAATGTCATTAGCATTTTCTAATGCGTGAGCAGCCGTTTTGAAAGGCGCGAAAGACCGTAGCTCGACCATCTTCCCGAACTTGAAGGCATCCCGAATGGAGTTTTGGACATCTGCATGCTAGAGTGCGGAGCGCATATAAGCAAGTTTGAAAGAAACAAAAGACAAGTCATGCCTTGGACCCAATCTCTTCAACTTTCCTTGACGAGAAGAGCGCATATCCACTAGAGGATTCGAAAAGGATATGCGTCGGGGCCGTCATGGTCGTCGCAAAATAGTTGGCGTTTGCGGCAAGGATGAATTTTCGCGAGGAGACCCGATATCAACAATGGACAACAAAACCCACCGAATTCACTTGTCCCAACTTTCACCCCAGCCTCATCTCAAGCACATTTGTGGTGCACAGGAATTAGCAAAGACAGGTCTATCACCCTATTAATATGCGAGGAAACTTTGTAGAGTGTCCGTTGAACTTATTCAATTTCTGAATTCGCCACAACGCCTGCACATGCAAAACCTGCAATATATGCCCGCCTACCCTCCCTCAGTTATACTGGGTAAAAGGCACCCAAGGATTTCAGAGGGGTAAGACCTGTTTAATAAGAAATTCGACATGAATGGTCTGTGTACACACTCCTCCCTTCCGACCCCGAGCCCGTGTTCAGCTGAGAATAATGGCCAAAAGATGTCGTTACTACATAGGCAATTAGAGCACTGTTAGATGCATAATCCACATATGTACAGAACTACGATACAACATTCCATCCTTGGGGTGAATGTGGTCCTTTGGGTCCGTCAATAGCAAGCAGAACGAAGACGAATGGGCAAAATTGTGCCTCAAGCTCCAGCTCAAAATGGATGAAAATGAGCAGAGTGCGCATGTGGCAAAAGAGGAATGCTGGACAGTTCATTTTAAAGGCCTCCTCCACTCTTCTCGACGGGGATGACTCTCCGCTCCGCATCTCGTGCAGAGAGTTTGACTCCTTTGCGCTTGGCAGTGAGCGTGTCTTTCATGCTTGCTGCAGTCTGGAAAAGAAACAACCATCAATGCCCGGGCATGTATATGGAAGAGCCACTCACATCCACGAACTCATCGAAGCTCAGTGAGTTCTTCGCCTTTTCAATCCCCGCGCTAACCATTGCACTGACCACGTCTTTCAACTCAACAGCCTTCCCGCTCGGAGCAATAAACTTGGCCTCCCCGCGGGAAATCTCAACGACGTCGGTAGGTCGGATCCCAGCTCCTGTTTCCTCGTCACCACCACGAGCAACCCAAGCTAGACGCAACGCCTCCAATTCATCCAGCGAGAAGTGTGCTCTCGAATGCAACAAAGACGAATGATCCGCTTCTCCGATTCCACTTCCAAGTCGTGTAAACCTGCCGAGGAACCCCCCGCCGCCTCGTGTCCCTCCAAGCGTGAGATCATACCATCCTCTGCCTCTCACATCCAAATCTGCCTTCTCAATCTCCCCCGGAGAAGGGGGTGGCAATCCCATAGTGACGAGATACTCCCTCGCATCAACCCATTCCTTCTTCCTTCTATTCGCATTCCATCCAAGCTCATTCCCCATAATATCAATCACACGAGGAAGGGCATCAAGCGCTGCTGCTGCATTGAGGAAAGCTAGCCGTGACCGACGTCCGATGAAGTCGACTGCTGTTTGAGCATATTCATTCCGAACAGCATAATAAATCTCAGCCTCGATGTCTGCGGAATATGATTATTATGTTGTGTTGTTCTTGTCAGAAAACAAACGAAAAAGAAACGCACAGGGATAGTTGGGATTTAGTCTGATGCCATGCAGAGGCCATCTACGACCTGCTGACTCCGCCATAGAAGCTACAGCCCAGGCACGGTCTCCATAATTATCAGAGAGATGCTTAGCCACCTCCGTTTCCAGACCATACTAACAAGAAGAATCTTCAAGAAGCACGAAAAAAAATGCAAGATCGCACTCACCCGCTGAACCAACCCAATAAACATGTTCTTACTCCAATTTTCGCTTCCAACAAGCCTTACCCGCTCCGTAATACTCGATCCAACATCAAAGCCAAACACTTCCGCCGCTTTATCGACAGTCTCTTGCGCCATGGCCCTGTATGTTGTCCACTTCCCACCAGCAATGGTGATCAACCCAGATCCCGAGACTGTGATCAAATGGTTCCGCACGAGGTCCTTGCTGTTCGATGAATTAGGATCCCGTATAAGAGGTCGTAAACCACTCCACGCTGAAAGAACATCCCCTCTTCGAACTCGAATATCGGGTGACAAGTATCGTTTAATTTCTTCCAAGATCCATTCAATTTCTTCCTCGCGTGGTATGGGCATATCCGTCACGCTCGTGGGAGTATCGGTCGTACCGGCAATGGTGTTTCCTTGCCATGGTAAGAAGAAGATTACCCGCCCATCACTTGTGGCAGGGTCGAGAAGGCCCATCTTACGAGGGGAATAGTAATTCGGTAAAGTGACGTGTACGCCGGAAGAAGGGGCGACAATAGGCTTGGGTGGAGTCAGGCCGGAGATGGCTGCATCCATTTGGAGAAGCGAGTCACTGAAGGGACCAGTGGCATTAATGATTCCCTATGAAGTGCTGATCGTAAACATCATGAGGAATCAACGGAAACACGCTTACCTTTGCCCGAACGTTGATCTCTTCACCTGTTAAACGGTCTCGAACGCGTGCACCATTCAGCTTGCCAGTTGCTTCATTCTTGTGTAATTCGGTCGCTTCGACGTGATTAATGACTGTGGCACCATGTTGGACCGCCGTCATGATTAATGACACGTTCATTCGCGCGTCATTGTGTTGACCTGGCATTTACGAAAGAATCTCAGTCAGAAGTAGGTCCGTAGGCACGAGAAAACGATGTAACCGGATACCGTGCTCACCGTCATAATAAACCAGCGCACCAACCAAACCTTCACTCTTAAGCATAGGAAACGCTTCGAGAGCCTTTCCTTTTGTCATGACATAGCTAGACTCCATATTCTCACCGCCAGCCAAGAAATCATATGCTTTACACCCAGCCCAATAATAGGGTAATTGCCACCATTTATACAGCGGCAGCATGATAGGAAGCATATGGGAAAGATACGGTGCTGTCTGGAGGAAGATTCGGCGTTCATGCAACGCTTCTCTGACGAGTTTGTATTGCTCATAGTCGAGTTCGAGAACAGCTTTTTGAAGATATCGAACACCGCCATGAACAAGCTTGGTGGATTTTGATGATGTACCTACAATGTTTCGAAGAGCCGAAGAATGCGCAATCAAGATTCACTAGAGTATGGACATGAGCAGATCGAGCTCACCAGAACTAAAATCATCCCTCTCGACAAGTGCAACCTTAAGACCTCTCGAAGCAGCATCAACGGCAACTCCGGAGCCTGTAGCTCCTCCACCAACAATTAGCAAATCAAACTCCTCGTCCCCTTTTGATTCTACGTCCTCCTCCAATGCCCTTACCGGTACATTCGCTCTCAAACTACTCAACATTTTCTGCCTGGAAGGTGGAGTCCAGGGAGGTGGTGGTCTGCCACCAGGTGGAGGAGGAGGAAACACAGGCTTATTCACGGAATAGAGTTGCCATCCTGTACCTAATACGATCGTTCCCGCCGCGATCCCTAACGCGCGTTTCCGCGTCAACATCAAAACTGGAGCCATTTATCACGTCGAAACAGCAGTTCCAGAGGACTACTATAAGATCGTCGACGGGCGAAAAGGAGTTAAAGAACAAGTATTGGAGTTATAAAGAGCTCTAGCCTGTGGGCAGGAGAATGGACGTTCCGTTAGGCAGACGTTGATCCCGCCACCGCTGATATGCCGTGTGAAAACTCGGCTCGACAATGAATTGAAGTTGGGTTAACAGGCATGAGATTTTGTGACCAGAAAATGCCCGAAATGTTTAATTATCACGAGGGTATCCGAATCCCAAGTCACGGTACGTACGGAGAGTAAAGCGGATGGCGAAGAGGTTGTGGGCAAGGTCCGGCAATCGCTGGAAACCGTGGGAGTGTGGTTTATCGTCGTGAGGGATATATAGATCTGGCCCGCGCCGAGTCGACGGTGGTTTGCGTCCGTTATAGTACCTTCCATGCATGACTTCCTGACACATCCACGCACAGGCGCAAGCATGCACATTATATTATAGGTTCAGTAATACACGAGAACATCGTAAAAACTCGGATAGCCGCTATGGCACGGCCAGTATCCAGTAGTTAAGTACTATCAAAAAATTAATCAATTATAAACGCCGGGTCGATTCCAGACCCTTCTCCTGGTTCTTTCGGGTCCAGGAGGTCTTTGCTCTAGGAGGCCCGATGGTGCCATCCTTCGCCTGCAACGTCCTCCCGCCTTTTATCTGTTTCCCTCAATTTGAATGTGTTGTGAGGCTGACAGTACTCGGGGGCTCGAATGGATGGGGTGCAGTCTCCGAGCGCTTGCTGAGGATTCTGGCTGGAGGACAGGGGAAATGGATGTATCGAGATCGAGAGCCAAAATCGATGGACCGTGACATGCGTGACACGTGTAGATCGTTGCTCCGGGAATTGCCGTTCCCACAGAGGCGTCGATTAGATGGATGCTGGAGGCGCTGAAGTGCCTAGCTTCCTGCAGTCACTGTTTGTGCGTCCAAACCTGATTGAATGGAAGGTTATACTTAACTGAGGGTGCGTCAGGCAGGCGCGGCAGCAGGCACTTCCGTAGACTTGCTCTTTTTTCCAATTGACACAGTCAAAACACGACTGCAATCTTCCCAAGGATTTCTGGCAGCCGGTGGATTTAGGGGGGTCTATCGTGGGATTGGGAGTGTCATCGTTGGGAGTGCACCGGGAGGTTAGCTGCAATATTAACGATCGTTGTATTGTTTACCATTGAGTATTTCCTCTGTTAAAGCTGCCGTGTTCTTCACGACATATGATTATTTAAAACACAATCTTCCTTCCCCTATCTCACATCCTTCTCCTCTGGCTCATGTTTTTGCCGCCTCGATGGGGGAATGCGCTGCGTGTCTTGTCCGTGTCCCGACAGAGGTTGTCAAGTCAAGAACGCAAACTTCCACATACGGCGTCGCAGCGTCATCATTTGATACGTTCATGAATGTGATGCGTGCCGATGGAGTCGCTGGCCTATACCGTGGTTTTGGAATCACCATCATGCGGGAGGCTCGTTCCGTCCACTTGAGTACCACAACTGGGGTTGATTCTTCTCATCATTCAGATTCCTTTCACATCACTGCAATTCCCGCTTTACGAATACCTAAAGCGCTCGTTAAGAGAGCGCTTGCCCGGTAAGCGAGTGCTTCATGCTTACGAAGCATCCCTTTGCGGATCCGTTGCTGGGGGTGTTGCTGCTGCTCTCACCACACCACTGGATGTCCTCAAAACCCGTGTCATGCTTGACATGAGGGTAAGTCCAATTGAATTTTTTTTTTTAGAAATTTGGATTCCCGATGATCTATCGTAGGCAGACAGGAGCGAAATTCCTTCAATCACCCACAGATTCCGGAGTATTTATCGTGTTGAAGGTGTGGGCGCGCTCTTCGCCGGAGTCGTACCTCGCACGTTTTGGATATCTGCTGGTGGAGCAGTGTTTTTGGGCGTGTATGAGCTTGCGGTATCCTCGAAGCTCGCGAGGGGGTTATAAGCAAGACTGGATTGTTACGCACAACATAGAGGGGGCCTATTTCGTGGTCCCCCATCGAAAATACATTATAATAAATCACCCAGGATAAGATCAATACAGCGATCCATTCATACGCCGCAAAGCGAAGGTAGGAAAAAAAATCCGAGTCGCGGTGGGACAAAAACATAATCGAATTGAAATGGGGTGTTGTGCTACAGAATGTTGTAGGCTCGTACTGATGGAATCCAGCTAGCGTGCTTTAGGGATGTGGAGATCGAGGAACTGGAGTGTGTGGAAGAGGGATATTTGCGGGATCAACAGTTTCGTCCTCGGTTATGTTTGGTAAGCTATCATGGCTAGTAGTTCGCCGGGGGACCAGGGCTCGCGGAGGGGTGGGTGGTTGATATGGAGGGGGAGCGGTATCGGGATTATCATGAGACGAACTGGGGGGTCGGCGTGTCGGCTGATATTGGCGTGGAATTGCCATGTTCTCTTGAGGTTTGGGCTGCTCAACGGATGGTGGGTTTGGAGGCGGTGTTGCCCACCAGAAGCTGCTCAATGAAGTACCTGAGTAGAAACGAGGGTATGAAGGACGGTCGGTATCCGAAGATCCGCAGCAGCATTCACGAAGGCACAAGAATATGTGTTTGGTATAACATATCCACAAGAGTGCAATGACTAGCACGACGCCTACTGAAGGATGTGGTAGTCTTTGTAAGCGTGTCTTGTATGCACGAGTGAAGGTTACTCACACACTGCCGCAATGACGACACCACTATACTTGTAGCCTATTCCACTATCCATGGGAATAGGTTGAGGATTATCCATAAAAGTATCCTTACGCTTGACGTGGCCTTCAATGTAAAGTGAGGCGATGGCGGCAACTTTGGGGTTTGCCCACGGTTCATTCGAAGGTATGTACATATTTGTCGGTTGGGCGTGGAGGACTTGGAGGCAGAAGTAAAGTGACGAGGATCAAAAGGTACAAGGTATTTGCTTGGGACTGAGGTATTATATATACTCGAATCGTCGTAGTCTAGTTTTGGTTTAGACTGCAGTTGCGCGGGGAAGAAGCAACCTGAATCCGAGGTTTACTCATGTGTCATGCACCACATGCGGAGGGGACCGAGCAAGAGGTTTCCCTTTTGCAACGACGAACTGACGGCCGCGAAAAGAACCAAAATGCCGACATGAATATCAAGGATTTGAGTGGAAAGAGTCCAGCAGACATGAGCGACGCATATTGAAATCGGTTTTTTGGATTAAACCATAGCAAGCTGATTGTTCCGTGTCAGTCAGCTGTGTTAGTTGCTTGACGCCATTCGAATTTGACCGGTCTCAACGTCTCGATCTCAGTCATTCTCTGTACCAGGCTGGTGTGGAGAGTAGGGCAGTGACATTCCAAGAGTTCTACGACACATGGGAGAGCATAACAAGTGTAGGGCCGCGGGACACCCGGTCGTCCCCAGATAAGCTTTGCAGAGCGAAGGCAGTATACATGGCAGCGAGTTAAAAGGTCAGGCAAAAAATGGTGGGTGAAGAAGGCAGCCACCAGGGGGCCACAATGCCTTGTGTTTTGCGTTGGCCGCCGGAAGCCAGTTTCGCATCATGCCTTTCCGAGCATCGCAACCACCCAACTCGCCACCCCGACATTCGGAACATGGTGTGCCGAGGGCAGAAGCACGAGTATCAGAGAAGGAGTAATTGTAACTCCACGGATTACAGAGGGGGCAGCGATAGTCTGTAGCAAAGGGGAAGGGAGTAAGAAATCACACGACAATGTAACGGGATATGACTCGCAAGTAATGACGACGCTTAGAGCAGCCACCAGAAGCATCAGCACAGATGCATACATGAGAACTGTTTGGGCCTGACCAGATGCAATGGACGAAATTTATCTCGATGAGTGTTGGAATCGAGGGAAACGAGACACTCAAAATGCTTACAATTGATAAAGTGTGAACGATACCATTTGAGGTTCGTTGTAAATCATTGGTAAGGAATGGGACCAGTTTGTCCTCTGGAGGGTGTAGTGGTGCGTTGTAGAGAGCAAGACGCGTTCTGAAATGACGTGCCCCGAACATTGTGGATAACTGCGTAGGACCAGCCTATGTAGGACACAGCGCGTGCTGGCATCAACTTTTAAACAGGAAGCTCCTTGGGAAGTGAGGACGCATTCACTTTGAAACATGGGTGCCAGTGATGTGTTCCGGGTTGATCGATCAGGCTTGAGTTGTCTGAGTGGTGTGGAGACTGAGTCATGTTTAACATTTGAGTGAAGCTAAGATGGAGATTGAGCACACTTGGAGACAGTGTAGCGGTCAGCGTCAATCGGTGAATCCTTTTGCGAAGTGGGAAGTAACAAAGACACTAGATGCGAGTTCCACGACAATTCTCACACCGGGTGCACCCCGAAGACATCTGTCTCGAATCGGTCCAGTGTCGAGCCTGGCGCTCGTGCTGGCCTGCATAGATAGACTATTCACCCCCAGAGTAACAAACCTGCACGCATGGTTGAGAGGTTGAAGTGGAAGAGTTGCAAAGAAACTCACTGAAGTTAGAGGAAGCCATAGTGTGTAGAGAAATGATCGTGTTTCGAACTGAGATTGGAATAACGAAAGAGGAATACGCTGCGAGTACGTACTCACGACTAGGTGTCTTACGTTTGAACGAACGAGTTTATGTAACTACAAGCGCTCAAGATATCGATACCGGGCACAAACATTCTAGATTGGGAATGTACCATCGTAACAACTGTCGGAAAAGTTACAAATCCGCAACGTCACGTGATATTCGTTGCGACGCGTTGCAATGCATTGCAACACATCTCAATGCTTGGGTGCACTGTTACAATGGGACTTCACATGGCATAAATGGCACTTATACTTGCATGCCAATAAACAACCGATGTGCTACATAAATATTTTTAGTCCGGGTTTGCAATATCTGTAGTCACCGGAGATATCCGGGACGCATGTGAGGATTTTACTAAGCGTGCAAGTCCGCACAGGAGTTACCTTAGGTAGATTTCCCTCGATTCATTCCTTTGTATATACATGGACCTTAACCATTAGATCATAATAGTAATTTGTATAGTGTCAACTACAGCTGAGTTAATAATGTCGGCATTTAGAAAAGAAAGACTATGTAGTGTGAGCTCAGTCAGACTCAGACAAGAGTCCTTGTTGGAGGGCAGCGCATACAGTGCCTTTAGGCACTAGTGCGACCCCTTCCAGACATTGCTGGAAGGTTTGGGCTGACCGAATTACTCGGTTAGGCCATGTGACTTGTGGGAACAAGTCACGCTTCTCTTTCTTATTTTGGCTATTTCGGACTTATCCGTGATGGCCGCATACTATATTCAAACATTTGAATTAGTTTCATTTTCCCTCAGTTCTCGCGCATTACTTATTGCTTCAGTTACTTGCTCTTTATTTCTACTCATTGTATATCTAGATTACCCAACGATTATTCCGTTAGTTCTGAGGGGAAGGTCTGCTGTAAATGCGATGATCCAAATATGGCACTTCAGCGGCTCACTTGCAGTCCAGAATGTACTTTTCTCAATAATTTACTAGTCCCAAATTATAGCTATTCAAATGGGCTATTCATCGATGTAACGCGCGTGGGAAACAGTCCTGACACCCCTTTAGACAGTGGTCAGCATGAGCACAGACATTGAGTTATCCCAAAGACTCGCGTCTGAAAAAGTATTTTGCGTTTTTCTCAATAATTTACTTGTCAATTTAGTCCCAAATTATATATTTTGGAAGCTATTCAGATGGGCTATCCATTGGTGTAAAGTGCGTGGACACCGTGGGAAACAGTCCTGACACCCCTCTGGACAGTGGCCAGCATTGCGCACGGACAGTGAGTTGGACAGCCAATTTCGCATAATTTATTGGTCAATTATATTCTGGAAGCTATTCAATGGGGCTATCCAGCTATGTAAAGTGTGGCTAGACCATGGGAAACAGTCTTGACACCCCTCTGGACAGCAGCCAGCAATGTGCACAGATAATGAGTCGGGAGCAATATAATAATAGTTCGGATGACTCCGCTACAATACAATTATAGGCACTTCGTTGGGGTACTTGATCATTGAATAGACATTCATATAAAACCTGAGGGTCTACCCCATATGCCTGGGCTCGCTGGCCGAGTGGTAGGATTGCGCTGTGTTACTATAGACTGTATTGCCGTTTCAATATAATGGGTATGTGTAATAGGTATTCATATCCCCTAGTATGTAGGGTTGTCTGTTCGAATCCCTGAAGGACTAGAATATCTACATTTCTTTTGGGCTATTGCCCTGTGGTCACGTTGCAATGCATTTAAACTCAATGATCCCGTTGCAACGCTGGGTGGCTGTTGCAACATCAAGTAATCAACGCAAGACTTGCATTGCCACCGATCCGTTTTGGCCGTTGTATTGTGTTGCATTGAGTTATAATGTATTGATACAGATTTGTATTTTTTCGGACAACACGCAATTGTAGTAAATTTTAAGCGCGTAATTTTTTGCTTGCTGCGCCTCGCCCGACTCTCTCATGTGAAAACATTTCAAGGAGATAGAAACAGCAAAGTACTGGGAACTCGCATTTCCCAAGACAAACCCCAACTACGTACATATGTATCGCGAAGACTACTGGGGTACCAAAAGAAACAGCGAAGTAAACAACTAACTATTCGTTTTGATTTTATTTCTTTTTTCCATCGTCTCTCTCTTTCCATTCTGGCATTGAAATCGTTGGAGATGGGAGTGGGAAAAAAAAAAACGAACCGCAGCGATCCATTTAGCAGTTTGCGAGTCGATGAGGCATGGCTTATATATAGGTGACAACGATCGATCGTTTGTCCGTGACCGGCAAATCCTCGCCGCATGAAAGTGCAGACTCGTACCCAGTCTGAGGGCACACTAAAGAGAGGCCGGTCATAATTGTGTTGCTCGGCGTGCAAGTCCAATCTCGCGGTGTCTAGGAGCGGAGTCCTTGGTATATCTGTGGAACTTATGAGTTACCGCATCGCCAATGCACTGAACTTACCCAAAGGTCTCACATCCAGCCATCGCTTAACAACTATTGTGCCGTACGTCCTCGATCTCTGCTGCCTTACTCCCATGCTGGGAGCGGCGGGCGGGCAGGTGCGATCTGTGTCTTCGGTATAATAAGACTGAAACCATCCGACAAAACAACTCGATTGTCCACACACATAACACTTCAGGCCACGAGTACGCGTCGCCTGGAACTCTGCTTCTCGTCGCTGAAGCCCTGGCCGCTGGCTGGAAGCTGGCGCGCTAATCCTCAACACTTCCGACAAGCAATTGGCTGAGCCTTTACCAATGAGATCTTCATTCGCAGCGTCCTCAATTCAGGGAAGCCCAGAAGTAATGGCACCGATGGGTCCTGTCCACACCCATGCAAGCAGTCCCTTGGCCTGTGCTGGGCAATCGTCCTATGTCACAACGATTCAACGTCATCATCAAACAAGGAGAGGAGTTGGAGAATCACGAACCACAACGATATCATCGCCACACAAGGCTACATCTCTACGCTTTTTGTTGGCTGTTACACTCACTGTCGTTCTAACCGGCCCCTTCCTGCACACCAAGTGTTCGCTCATATCGGCGCTGAAACCAATATTCCAATCCTTCTCAATTTGTTGGTACACTTTATGATCGCAACATTATCATGGAGGTCCACGGGTAAATTCAGCATGGGGCGTTTAGACAGCTGCCGGTAGGCGCTACGAAGCTGATAACAAGATGTCATTAATGGCTGGCATAGTTTGAACAGTTACTGAGATCCGATGAACACATGGGCGACGCCTCAATGTTAAGCTCCAGGCATCACTGTGCACTGGGGAATCGAGACTGATAGCGCCATTGACATGGCATGAAGGCAAACTCATTGGTGAGCAGGGACGGTCGAATGGTCGACGTGAAACGCGCCGAGGATTATCAGCCAACATCCAACCCGAGACGTGCAACGATGACATAAAAACGAACCGTGGAGTATGGCGACCTGGCCAGTCGCAGTTCGATCATGCCAACACCCACAAGACAACTTGAAGGCCACTTCGCCATGCCAGCGTCGGACGTGAGAAGAGAGATACCGCTAAAGTGATACTTAAACAACGTGACCTAAGCGGAAAGAGGCAGAGAGATAGATGATGAGTTCGCGGGACGTTGTAGATGCATGGGAAGAGACCCGAGCACAAACAGCGACTAAAATCTAGCAGGTCGCGTCGCGTACGTTTTGTCATTTGAGTCTGCAACCAAGTTTTGTGTTGGATAAACAAGCCATGACGACGTGTCGGTACGCGTTATCAGTTACTGATATGTTCCACCTTGGACAACCACTATGTGGGCCTTTATAGGGGGGACCTCAGGACGTTTGCATGGGGCCTAAAAGGCCTTTTTCACTATAAACATCCTAGGACATCCTGGCCATTCATTTGTTGCAAACGTCCTCAGATGTCCTAATTCAGTTTGATTCAATGGTTGCAAATTGTCCCGGAATGCCATACTCGTCCATCCCATGGTCTGTGCGCATGCTGACCACTGTCTAGAGGGATGTCAACACTGTTTCCCACGGTCTGAACACACTTTACATAGTTGAATAGCCCCTTTGAATAGCTTCCAGAATATATATTTTGAGACTGAATTGACCAATAAATTATTGAGAAAAACGCAAAATACTTTTTTGGACACGAGTCTTTTGATGGTGGCTGTCCAACTTATTTAATGTCTGTGCACAATACTGGTCACTGTCTGAAGGAGTGTCAGCACTGTTTCCCACGGCCCCAACACACTTTACACAGATAGATAGCCCCTTTGAATAGCTTCCAGAATATATATTTTGAGACTGAATTGACCAATAAATTATCGAGAAAAACACAAAATACTTTTTGGACGCGAGTCTTTGGGTTAGTGTGGCTGTCCAACTCAATGTCTGTGCACAATGCTGGCCACTGTCTGAAGGGGTGTCAACACTGTTTCCCACGTCCCCAACACACTTTACGCAGATGGATAGCCCCTTTGAACAGCTTCCAGAATATATATTTTGAGACTGAATTGACCAATAAATCATCGAGAAAAACGCAAAATACTTTTTTGGACGCGAGTCTTTTGGGTTAGTGTGGCTGTCCACCTCATGTCTGTGCACAGTGCTGGTCATTGTCCGGAGGGGTGTCCAGACTGTTTCCCACGGTGTCAACACACTTTGCGTAGTTGGATAACCCCTTCAAATAGCTTCCAGAATATATAATTTGAGACTAAATTGACAAGCAAGTTATTGAGAAAAATGCAAAATACTTTTTTGGATGCGAGTCTTTGGGATAGTGCTTGGGCCACTAAATTTCACTGACAGTCTCGAAGTCATCGAAATTCCCGGGTCACTGATATCCCAAAGACTCGTGTCCAAAAAAGTATTTTGCGTTTTTCTCGATGATTTATTGGTCAATTCAGTCTCAAAATATATATTCTGGAAGCTGTTCAAAGGGGCTATCCATCTGCGTAAAGTGTGTTGGGGACGTGGGAAACAGTGTTGACACCCCTTCAGACAGTGGCCAGCATTGTGCACAGACAGTTGAGCAGCCTGAGGATTGTCATGGGAAATCAGATTCAATTGCGGCATTATGTTTTGAATGTCTACCCTGAATAATACAAATTTGATTGAATCACAGAAGCATTTGATTGAATTTGATTGAATTATAGAATCATCCCAGGACATCCTAGGACATCCTAGGACGTCCTGGGGATGTCCTGGTGAATGGATCAGTCTTCACCAGGATGTCCAGGACATCCACTAGTAAATACCCCCTTTTAGGCCCATTTGAAGGCCAAACGGCCCCCCCTCTATAGGCCGTCATTAGGTGGCTGACTAGGCTGATATGTTCACCGTTGACTGTGCTCCACATGTAGCGCTTACGCGCGTATTTTTCCTTTATCAGTTTTGTCTCATCATGTTATTAGTCTAGCTACTCATACCGCTGTGCGGTTACAATGTTACAAGTGTGAGATCTTCCCCAGTTGAGTATCCCCGCTGAGTGTTACATAACAAGATTTTGGACATCGATTGATCATTCCATTGGCTCGTACTTGCATCGTCCAGAGGCCTTCTTGGATGCCGGACATGATGCTGGTTCGAGATGCATTTGAGGACGGTGGACGGTTGCCTCGCCCCGCGATTCGACCTGCAGCCAGATGCGGATCAGTACGATTAGAGCTTCAGCGGACCGAAACCACATACCTCGGTGCCTTCGAGCTGCTCCCCGAGCCCGAGGCGCGTCCCTTTTCCTTTGAAATCCCAGAAAAAAAGCGCGGCTTCGGCAATGGAGCCACCATCGATTCCCTCTTGGCCCGCGCTCGCGTACGGACCCCAGGCGAACAGGCATCTTTCGGCAACTCAGAAGTCGACGAGACGGCCGGAGCAGGAGCAGGAGCAGCAGGGGAAGGAGCAGCGGGAGCAGGCGTAGCAGGAGCAGGCGCAGGCGCAGGAGCACACGCGCGCACTGCCGGAAGATCGAACTCCGGGGGGAGGCTTTTTGCGAGATGTGTGTCAGACAACGTCCATACGAAACCATCGCATCCAACCAAAATCGGACTTACCAAATGTTGGTTCGCCGGCCACAAGGTCATGCTCACTTGGTCGTTGTTCACGTCTTGTGTGCGACACGATGAGATCGTCATAGCTAGCAATGTCATAGCTAGTGATGGTGATGGTGAGGTCAAAGCTGGTTGCATCCGACTTGAGCGCGGCGCGTAAATTATAGTGTTCAGAACCGAATTTCAACGTTTAATTTTGTACTACGTATCCAGCATCATGCAGGATACCAGAATTAGGCAATCAAAGTCAAGCTACCAGATTCAGATTGGAACACGTAACGATTTGAAGGGTTGCGGGAGAATTGCGAGTGTTGTGGCGTTCCGCCGCCGAGCAAACCAGAGTGGCTTCTCTGCTAGTTGGTCGTGAAAATTAACATTTTGGTATTTCTTGGCACACGTCACGCAGTGTGTCAACCCATTATGGGTTATAATTCCTGCACTACACGAATACAATCGAGTGGTTCCTGATTGGATACTCGCAGACTAGATCCGTGCCGGTGGCTCTCGAAGCCGTTGTTCACGGGGAGACCCTTCGATATCTGCTCATGAATCGGGATCGATATCTTTTACGTCTCTAATGTACTCCAGCGAGCCATTAATGCATGTACGTGCGTCCTGCGCACATATATATATAATATTACCCATCTGCTTCACTAATCTAACACTCCCTCTTTGCTAGTCAGTCAATCTTGGGGTCGGAGGACTCATGGTGGCCAGGAGCCGTAATGAGTCCTGGTTCGCCGACCACAAGGTCGACTGTGCGGTTACTCAGGGGGACAACGGGGGTTCAAGTTCAATTCGTATCAATAGATGCTGTCCTTCTCAACACATTGTTGATTCTTTAATGTACGTTTTAGAGGCAAAAGTCAGGAATTAAGTGCTCTAAGATCTCCTTCCATCCCTTTAACCCTCAAACGTGAAGCTCGCCCCGATTTTGTGCGCGGATGGACCTGGCGTTGCATCGCTAAGTCGTTGTGTGTCGAGCGCTAAGCCGAATGATGCTTTGACTCCCGGGCTACAGAACGTCAACACAATGCGTAAGTAAAACAATATTTATGTTGGGGTGCACATTAAACTCATACCGAAGGGTCTGGGTGTATCCGAGGACCTAAAAAGTACGATGAGGTCGGTCGTGTGTTTGAATTTTAATGTGGAAATATGTTATCTTACCAGAATACCGGCATTATTGATCTTCGCCTTGACGAAGGCGGCAGGGTCAAGGTAGCTGTCAAAGAAAAGACCGTTGAATACCATTAAGTGTGTAAGGAACAAATCCCCTCCCCCACTCACGCCTTAGCACCAACTTCGAGTGCGATGCCGTTAGCCGTGGACTTGGTGTCGTACACAGCTTTAGCACCAGCCTCAACATCCCTGTTAACTCGGTGATAGTAGCTTGCAGAGAACGTCTTGCCATTGCCCAGGGCATGAAGGGCGACAGCGTAATCAGGGGCACTATAACCGACGGCCGCAGCGTACTTGGTTAAAGTGCCCTGGGTGACATCGTACGATGTCTCTCCACCAACTAGGAAGCCATCACGGCCGATGACAGTGTCAGCAGTGACCGTGGGACCCTAAAAGAAATGAAGGAGTGAGATGTTGTAAGATGGCGTGAGGTTGAGAAGGTGGCAAGAAAAAAAAATCGAGTGTGAAAGTACCTTGAAAACGTCAAGGAAGGCACGAGAGTGAACGCCGGGCTGCTTGTAGATCGTAGTGATGAGTGCGGTCCTATCTCCCTTCTCAGGGGCAAGCGAGCTTGTAACATCAATCTTCAGACCCTCGGCAATTTGATTTTCGAGTTCGAGTTGAGCACGGAGGACGTTGGCAGTGGTCCAGGTCTTAGTGAACGTAAGACCTTTCTTAGGTACTGCATACTTGGCCTCGATGTCACCAGTGATGAGCGACGAGCGAGCATCACGGGTTCCAGCGACTTTGAACGTAACACCGGAAGGAGTCTTCGTCTTGACCTCCAAGCTAGTTCCGAAAACAGGAAAGTCTTTCGTCAAGAGGTCATTAGAACTCTTGCCGAGATCCTAAGTAGATGAAGGGGGGGGGGTCGAAGATAAGCAATTTTGTTTCAAAGAGGTGGGTGGGAACAAACCTTCCAATTTGGTGGAACAGGTTGAGCGGCCATTTTTCAACGTGAATAGCTCTAAAACAAATAAGAATCTGGAGTGTCAGAGAAAAAACGTGTCCAAATGCTCTTGGTGTGTCATTGCTCAGCGTATCACTCACCTGTGAGGAGTGGTCAAGGGAAAGGGATTTTCAAGCACGTGCCGTTGGCGCAGTCATGTGACAATCTCGATGCCGGAAACACTATTTCAACGCCTTATGACCCGTTCGAACGCTTAGCACCCAATTTGAGTCCTACCATCCTAGATACTCGGGATTGGAGGCAACATGGTACTAAAGGGTAATGAGATGAAGTATCATCGCTCGGCCTTCGGCCGAAAGTGGCCCACCCGATCGAGCATGGGCTGCAAAGTACAGTGCTGGTCCAAAGTGGAAGCTAACAGGTCAAATTACAATCTAGTCCGTACACATTAAAGTCGAGTGAAATCAACGCGAGAAGAAAGAAAGGAACTACTAATTGTCATCATCCTTCTTTGCCTTCTTTTTTGGCCTTGGGTTTTCGTCATCTTCGGTCTTTTTAGCCTCTTTCTTTTTGGGTTTCTTCACAGTACTAGCACCATCACCACCTTCATTGGTTTTCTTCTTCTTCTTTTGTTTCTTCATGAAATCACGATCACCGCTGTCGTCACTTGCAGTAACGGCGCCGCCATCCTCTTCACCGGATGATTCTGAGGGTGATCCATCATCCGTTGACTCCGCCTCGAAGTCTTCATCTATAGGACATAAATCCTTAGCCGATGCAAGTGGTGCGGCTACTTCGCAAGCCTACCTTCTTCGCTATCCTCATCGGCGTCCACACGGGGGCCACGCTTTGGGGCCTCTACAGATTCTGTGTCCGACTCCATATCATCGTCGCTGTCATCGAGTTGGGCAGCAACGAGAATCTCTTCATTCATCTCATTCTTAATCCGGAGCTTTTTGCTGCGTAAGAATGTCTCAATGAGCTCGTGCTCCTCCTTATTGATGGAGGAAAAGGTAGTTTCTTGTCCGCCCTTGGTAAGCACTTTGATGTCGAATGTACGGGCAGAAGCCATAGCACCACCGACCCTAGACAGAGGTAAGAAAGGCTTCGATGCATTTAGGCTGTATCGATGGCTCACCGAGAGAAAACAACCGACGAAATGCTGTCGTATTCGATAAAGGTAGTGGGTTTAACCAAGAACAGAAGTGCCTTCTCAAGGAAGTACAGGTCACCCTGGCTGCTTTCACATTGGCCTTGATACTATTATGCGAATCTCGACTGTAGGTTAAGCAATTAGCATCAATAAATAAACGTCAGGAATATTCAGCGCCATACCTCTGGAACGATCCCGATGGGGCAGTGATCTTCTTTTTGCTGAGGCCACGGAGAACGTGCGAAACAACCTCATGGGCTGGTTGCTCGTATTTCTCCTTGAGGTTTCCTTCGTACGTCTTCAAGGTATCCCTGCAAAAAAAAAAACAGTATCGTCATCGAAGCCTAAGAAACAGAATAGGCGAAGACATACTCGTCCATTTGCAACTCCATTTCAATTTCATCATCTCGACTGAACTGAAGGACAAAAAATGGGTATCTGGTCTGGCCTTGTCGCATTGGAGGATCCAAGCCCAGCTGCGAGGGATCCATCAGTATCAGGGCTATGCGAACACGATACTACTCCAACGGACCACAAGGAGAATGTGCATATCATCGGGACGAGGAAGAAGGAATAGTCTCGATATTGAGGTATAGTTAATCTTGTACTCGTAGGTTTTCCCGCGTAACCGCAAACAATCCAGGAACATGTCAATGTCATATCGCCCTCTGATCAGCAAGTGAGGGTCTGAAACACGGAATCCGTTGGGAAGATCAGCACATACCTCGGTGTGAGTAAATTGACCTCAGGGAATGTGGCCACTGATTGTCCAGTAACCTCGCCAACATCGGCATTCTCCTTGATCATATCATGAAATGCCTTCGCAGCTGATGTCTCTTCGTCTTCGCCATCAACTTCCATTTGCTCCCCATTTTCGTCAGCATCTCGAGTATGCGTTCCTGGGATGTGGAGACGAATTTCGACCAACTCCTCATCACCCTTGCGCCTACCCGCCGGCGGCGGGGGTCGGGAGAGAGCAAATTCTAGTGTGACTTCTTCCTTTCCACCATATGTTGTGTTAGCGATGGATTTAAATGGAATTTCGAATGCAGTTTTGTTCGACACTAGGAAAGCGAGATCCGACCCTGATCCGGAAATATGAGCCAAGAAGGAAAAAGAGCCTGTGGATCCAACCTTGAATATCGGTAGCGCCCCAATTCCATCCTTTTGTACAAATTTCCTTGGTTTCCAAAGCCACGCTGAAGTGCTGCTTCACCAATTGGGAGATTCTGTCGTGATCCTATGAATAACCAAATTAGTGCGGAGCTTCTCCAATGGTTCACGTCGTATTACTTCGCGTTGAAACCCATCAAAGGTATGGCGGGTCCGCTGATCTTTCATGATGACACGAAGTTGGAAGTTGCGCGCAACTCTGTATCATCGGCGATAGGGCATATTAACAGCAGTTACCACCATGAAGGGATGCACGATACCTCATCCATTGCATGTACTTTATATCACCTGCTGGGATGGTAACTTTCGTCTCTGTTGTGTTCGATTTCCAACCTAAGCCCAGAGCTGCTAATCGCAGAGCTAAAGACCCCAATGAACAACCCTGTTGTTGGAGGAAAGAAATAAAATCTACCTCCTGACTCCGTGCTTTGGCCATGATAGATGTCATCGAACTGAGTGGTCATAGCGAGGGCGCTTGCTGACTGCAGAACGCGTCCGAGGAGCGCGTTCGGCTATCGGCAAATTGCGTGTTCTGGGAAGCTGGTTTCAGACGGCGCCATGGACTCGATTCAGGAACGGACATTCTGCAAATGGTGCGTGCGTAATTCCGTTGTATGGGCCTTGGATTCTTATTTGTAGAGCTAGGCTTAACACGAAGCTAGAAACCCACGGTTATCCACCGATGGCAAGTCACCGATCCACTGGGAATCATATATGCTGTCACTGGCGTGCAGCTGAGCCAGATATCTTCATAGATATCTTTGATGACAGATCTTTCCGACGGGGTGCGACTGATACAGCTTATGGTGCGTGCATCCCGCACAGTTTAGTTATACACTGATAAACTTTCAGGAAATAATGGGTATGCCCGGATCGGAGCGGCGAGATGAACTCTGTGCTGAAGATTATCCAAGGCGACGTTTCTCTGGGAAAATACAACAAATCTCCGCGAATGCGCATCCAGAAAGCCGAAAATGTCACCAAAGCGTTGGACTTTATCGCCTCTCGGGGTGTGAAGCTCACGAACATAGGGCCAGAGGGTGCTGTTGCCTGCTTCTCCGATCGGTTCATCGCTAAAACGCATTCACAGACATAATTGATGGGAATCTCAAACTGATCTTAGGCATGATATGGACTCTGATTCTCCGGTTCACAATAGCTGACATCAGGAAAGTAAATTGGTAGCGTTTCTGTGCATCTTTCTCAATCACGTTTTCTATTTCCAGTGAGGAGGGTCTCTCGGCAAAGGAGGGTTTGCTTCTTTGGTGCCAAAGACAAACGGCTCGGTATCAAGAAGTTGATGTTCAAGACTTCACCTACAGTTGGACGGACGGACTGGCTTTGTGAGCAGTCACAGGGTGTTTTCGTGTGACTGTGCTTCATTCCATCCCGGCCAGTTAGATGTGCATTGATTCATCGACATCGTCCCGAATTGCTCGATTACCACGCATTGGATTTTGTGAGTTCCTTGTTGAACATACCACAGAAATAGTTTATCTCGTGCGCCCCAGAACGACCACCATGGGAACACTCGGAAAGCATTACAAGTGGCCCAAGGTTTCCTAGGCATTCCTGTCCGTCGCCAATTTGGGTTTCCCTTGTTCGAAATTGATTTTCTCCATCAGCAATTGCTCGAAGTCGAAGATCTTTGTGATGCCCGGCCACCAGATGAACGTAGCGTAATGACCTATGTTGCCGGTTTCTTCCATGCCTTCTCCTCCATGGGTGAGTTGGCGCAGCGGTACTGTGTCACCGTTTTACTCATAACTAGCTCTCTCCCAGATCAGGCAGAGACGGTGTCTAGACGAGTAGAGAAGTTTGCGGATCTTATGATGTCAGTGTGGGCTAGCCGTAATGACTATGAAGCTCGAATACGAACTGTCAGTCCACTTTTGCCTTTAAAGCGCGTTCAGCGTTATGATCTCCCTTTAGCTTTTGGCCGCCATGAGGGAGAAACAAGATGAGTGGAAGCAGGTCATGATAGAGGGAACATACGCTACGGCGATGAAACGCTCAGCTGATTTTGTGGAGTACAAACAGACTGTCAAGCGAGGCTGGGTTACGGAAAAGCAAGATCTGGCTTCTTTATTGGGAAACATTCAGACAAAGCTGAAGACGTACAACCTTCGGCCATACCAGCCGCCTTCTGGGCTCGGGATAGAGGTCGATTGTCATGATTCTATATTTTTCCTTTATTTGCTGATTTGCTAGTTGCAGGATCTTGATGTTTCTTGGACTCGTCTCCTGGAAGCTGAGAAAAATCAATCGAAGAAGATAAACAGTCACATTCGGAAGTCAGTTTCTTCACGACCCTGTCTGCCGATCTCACCCACCTTCTAGCATTAAGGAGGCATTGCGTCATAAGTTTGCACGCGCTGCCAGCGAGTTTGAACGCAAGCTCCGGACGATATCACTGCATCTGTCGTCAATGACGGGGCCGTTGGAGGTGGGTTTGCGGCCGGTGTTTTTGACTTCCGTGCAGCGAACTCACCAAGCACGTTGTTCCCAGAGCCAGCAAGACCAAGTTGAACAGATACAGCATGATCTTGCGCCACTGAATGGCGCCCTTGACAATATCGCCGAGATTGAAGAAGAACTCCGCCAAGCAAACATTGAGGAGAACGATCACACGGTCTTTACACATGCAGACCTCGAATTCGAGTTGAAGCTTGTTCAGCAAACTGTAGTCAAAAAGATCAAGTTTCTAGACAACCAAGTGAGTTTCTTTCCTCCTCCCAAGCATAGTTTTGACTATTCTCGTCACGGGGAGATTGTTGCCCGAAATATGTCTAATCTGACACCGGCACAACTGGAGCAATTCGAAAGCACGTTCCGCTACTTCGATAAAAACGGAAATAATACCCTGAGCGTCGATGAGATGGTCGCTGCCCTTGCTAGCCTAGGGATTGCGTGCCCAGTATGCGTTCAGGTGTTTTCATTCGTTCCTGTTTTTCTCATTATATCCCAGGATGAAGAGGTTATGGAGATTCACGACCAGCTCGTTAAGGAATATGGAGATGTCACATTCGAAGCATTCATCAATCTCATGGTATCTACAAACTATTGTTATCAGCGCGTCGACTCAGTCTTTACACAGGTCGAGATAACGGAAGATCAGACGTCTCCTGATCAACTTCGGGATGCGTTCAGAGGTCTCGCATATGACAAGGTACGATCAGTAGATCAAGAAGAATTTTCTTCCCTTCTCACTCGCGTTCACCACACTAGGAATACGTGACAGAAGTTGATCTCAAAGCAGGGATGCTGCCGCAAAACGCCATCGATTATCTTCGGGAGGCTATGCCAAAAGCTGCAAACGCGATGGATCAGGAAGGCTATGATTATGAAGCTTGGCTGGATCAAGTTTTCCATTGAAGAGGATCTGTGTGGCCAACGAGGCGACAATCTAGTCGCTGCTGTTAAGATTTTGAAGATAATGTTTCATCACTAATATTGTGACTTCCCTTACCTCGAGCGATGCGTTTCTTTGCGCAGTATACCCACGTTACGTGCGATGTAACATCCACGACGTGTGCATATACTGAATATCGTTGGAACTGCTTCAGGTTGAGATGGCCAACCCGCAACCCGGACGAGGCTTATTCCAGGTTGTAACAACATTAAAGGAAATCAATATTTTACCGAGTTCTCTTAGTTCACTCGCTAACATGCAGGGTTCTAGTTTCAGTTTGGGTTGGGATAAGCGATATTATGAGACAAACCCAAGTCAAGCAACAAACTAAAATAATCGACCACAAGGCACGGAAAACTGGAATAGGTAGAACAGGGAAGAAGAAAAGAATAAAGCGGCGGACTATAGCACTCGATGACGAGTCTGGGTGCCCGACCAGAATTGAGGGTGTGGAAACTGAAGCCAAAGCTTGATCCCCCGACAGCACATTAACAAATTCCAGACGAGTACGACTGTGCATGTATTAATCCCTAGGAGAGAAGTCGATGGGATTGACTTTCAGCCAAGTCAAGGTGGAATCCTTCAACCAGAATCCACTCATAGATGCCCACCAAGCTGATCCGGCGGATATAAGGCCGAACCAGCCTCCTGCGAGTCGGCAGTTGTCGTTTCCTGGAGCAGCAGATTGAAACATCCCCTCCAAAGAGGACTAAGAGAGATCATACCAGAGAAAGCGTGGATACCCAGCATCATGAACGAAAGAGCTGCGCTGGCCAGTGTAGAAACGACGGCACCGGAGGAACGACATGCGCCTTAGAGAGGCAGACGGGTTAGCGAGATCCCTGCTATGAAGGTGCATCACACGCACCAATAAGAAATACAATGGAGAGTGACATCCATGCAATCTAAACAATGTGGTTTGTCAAATAACGGCAACATTAGTGCGAGGTAGAACTCACCAAGAAGATGCCCAAAGCTTGATAGTATTGCGGGGAGAGGCCACCATCTTTAAGCTTGTAGGCCGCCATGACACCAATATCTAAGTAATTCATGAATTGGCTGAAATCCCATGCCGTGAAGAACTAGGCAAACCTGGTAGGTAGATGCCACCATATGCAAGGTTGTAACCCCCGTAAGCAGAGAAGATAGTGCAACCGAACGTGTTTCCCGTGAGCTATGAAATCTACGCGTAAGCCCCGTGAAGGAAGAGTCATTCGACTTTCAGTACCAATTCCACTATGCCAGCAATGATTAATTGGATGCCGCCAAAAAAAACTACCATTGGCACGGCGACATTTGGAATAGTAATCCCTCGAACTAAGGACGAGATCAGTCAGATCATTCTAAGGTACCGGCCTTAAGACCAATTCACCATGAAGGTTGAAGAGACTGGTAATGAAGAAACCTGTTCCGAACGCGAGGAAACCCAAGGGGGCCTGACAAGAACTTAATTGAAGCGTCTCTGGGTTTGTTCAACTCGCAGAACATACCGGGTTGGCGTACTTCCTATGGCTGATGGGGATAGGCGTCTGTGAGTAGTCGACAGGATGACGACCGCTTGGGGTCATGGTCCTGTGGAGCTTGGAGGACGCAGGCGCTGGATCCGCAGTATGAATGTGAGGCGCCTTCTCAAGATCGTTAACCACTGCGCTACGGGAGGTCGAGGACATGTTTCCTTCAGCGCTGGGGATTAGGGAACGAGTACTGGCGGACTGGATAGCAAGTCCTATTAGGTTTTTATTTCCAGGAATTATTATGATTGCATGATCCACCCGCTCTTTCGAACTTGGAAGACATTTGGGCGCGCGAGAAAACCACTCAAGGTCAATGAAACCCATCTCTTGGGTCGAGCACTTCAGACCGCTCGGTCATCTTGCCACTATGAAACCCATTTCGACATGCGGATATGAAGCCATCATCAAGAGTGAGAACTTCTCAAGTGGGGGATCATGACTCTGAAATGGTCACTTGTTTCACACGACTACCAACAGAGGGGATGCTGTTAACCCTGGGTACCCAATGCCATTTTAGATTCTAGGACTCGTTCTTCTCACAAGGCGTCTACCGTTAATGGGCTCTCCACAGTTATTAAAGAATCCCTGGGACACTCTAAGGCTCTCGGCGTGTCAACTGTTGCCTGTCCCCTGTTACGTGCATATTACTCTTTAGCTTACGCTGCCAGCCCTTCTCGCAGGCGTTAAATTCGCATTGGAGATTAACTCGTGTCCATTTTTCTTAATGGGAAATCGCGTTTTTCTGACGCAACGATTGCAACGCGAAGAAGGCATGTTCTCTGCTGCAACCTTGTGCGCGCTATGACTGCGCAGGTCAGTGGGCGCCCGGCGCCGGGAACCCCCGCACGAGCCAAGATGTATCCTCATCAATGCGTTCAGTCCATGCCCATTTATCAGCTTCCAAATAACCTCTGACTTAATCTGTGGGGATTTTATCTGAGATCCCAGAGTGGTTCTGCAGGCGGCACTCCAAACCTTGCAACTGAACAAGACGAAATGTGAGAGAGGTGCAGACACTCGCCCGATGAACGAACACCACCATCCAGTGGCAGACATCCAATGGAGGGAACGCTGTCCTGATCATCACATACAAGAAACAGTGTCGACCTAGGGCGGCCAAGGCATCTTGTTAATTGCTGGGAGATCCAGATCTAACGCGCATGTCCAACAATTCATGGGAACTAGCACCGTGAGACGTCTGGTGTCCCTTAAGTGCTATGAGAATGTGCCATCGGAGATTAGCTCTCGAGATTTCACCGGCACTGGCTCAATGAAATACGCCGCCGCCCGAAATGAGACACAAGACTTGCTGTCTCTGTTTAGACTCCTATCAGGTGCCGAGGCGCTTTTACCTTATTGGTTTAGTGCGCTCACTACGCTGTACGGTATACTTAGCCCTCCTCGCGAGACCCCTCGACTATCCGTGCGGAACACTGGACCGACGCTGCGGGGCTGAGTTTCACTTGTGTTTTTGTCAGCGAAAATTGGGCTTTATCACAACACAATCTATAGACATGTCGCACAGACAGGCCCTGCTAATATATCGGTTGGCAAGATGGCCACGCCAGCTATGGAGTCCAAATAACGAGAGGGATGCATTTGGAACCTCCTTCGGAGTACAACCGGGAACTTATCAATGTCGCTGTCATAAAAGCTTGAGCAGTAGGTTGCAGATTGTTAGCATTGAGGAAGTCGGTATCGTCTTGACGGACACGGCGCCTTGGAAAGTTACAGCTAATGAAACGGTGTTCAGGTAATCTGGTGAGGTAATCGGGTCGCGAGTCTGCATGCACACCAAGTTCGAGATCTATTTGGCTTGGAATAGCAGTGAGTCCAGCCTGAGAAGCTCTTGAGACGTCTCTGTAACAACTCCATGCCAAGGATGCTCAGCGGATTTCAGCTCAAGCACCAAAGACCACAGGAGGCTGCTGCAGATCTGGGACTGCGTTTCGACATGTGATTAGGGCGTGGCGTGGGTTCTAGCATTCATGGGCCAAAATGCTGCGCAGATCACGATTGATCGGTGACTTCTCGTGACCCGGCGATGGGTCATCAATCTGTCACACCTTTTGTAATGGGAGTACCCTAAACTAGAGTGAAAGGGACACCGTTGGGAAGTGGGCCGCACGCCAGCAGATCCATGCAAGGTATGATATCGGTTCAGTCGCGCTGAGAAATGCCAACCTGCACCACGACTTGGGGCATATGAGTGTACCAGATACCTAGAAGCACTAAGGGGTTCAAGAATTCCTCGGTGATCAATCGAGGCATCCATCAAACCGTGAGCTACGGACATTGGTGGGTCACCAATTTGAAGTCACTCGCCTTAATTGCAATGCATCCGGTCGTTTATTCCTTTCTAGCTTGTCTGACATAATTTGGGTCCAAAAGCCGCCCCCGCAGGCGTTAGGGCGATGCTCACGCGTCCACCACCGAATTGAAATATGGGCTGGAGAGGAATATTTGCTTCCGTCCAGCAACGACCCCATGTAAACTGGGAGCTATTAACTGCCCTGAAACTGATAGGCGCCCAGCTCGTGTTCAGCTTGTATAGCGAGTATCGCCTCTCATCCTTCCTTCTCTGTCTCTCCGTCACAACCAACAGCTAGATGTCTCGAGGCGAAGATGTTCATTCTCAGACAACTACTCTACCGCTAAGATTGCGCAGCCGTCCCGGAACGGGCTCCAACATTCCCCTTGCGTCCAATAGGAACCCAAATATCCCTCCGGGAAACATAGATGGCCCAGAAATTCTGGGAGAGTTTTCTCAACCTATCCCAAGGACAAGAACTTTGCCGTCTCAACACCGCGCCCCTAGTGACTTCAATAACGGGAGCGCTTTACGCCGACCGACCGAGCCGCCCCGTGCAGCAGCTTCAGTATCCACCGGTCGTGATAGTGATGATGATGTCCCGTTGGCAGTTGCGATCCCAAGAGCCTTAAAAGCCCAAAAGTCTATTCGGTCGATGGATCGGAAGTCTTCGCCCCGGAATCCGTCTCCCAATCCCCCTAGACTCCCTGTCTCTCGACCTTCTACATCTTCAAGAGCGGCACCGGCATCTGCGTCTAGATCGAGGGCACCTTCGCGCCCGGATACAGGCAGCGTGTCGTCCTCGAGTGCTCCAGCTCCCGATGATCTTAGCAGACGCCTGTTGGAACTTCAGATCTCTATTAATGGCGCCAGCCCCTCAGGTGTGCACCGTGCAAGGACGCCCTTCCCTACTCGATCCCGAGATCCTGGCTCGCAAAGTCATGAAATGATGGTGCCGAATGCTGGACTTCCAACCTCAACTCCTGATATCCACTCGCCCATGGACAATGAAAGCATTGATTCCCCAATGCCTCGACCCCCCAAGCCATCAGCCAAGCCTCGGCCCGCGAATTTATCAGACAAACATGTACCTCAATCATCTGTCCCATCCCGTTCACGGCGCCCGTCGATCACGGAGATATCTTCCCCACCCACCAACGATACGCAGGGGTCTGGTAATCCCCCTTTACGGACTCGTTCAAGGACACTTGACTCTAAGGGTCGTAGGCCCATCGTTCCTTCACCGCCCTCACCACTCCCTCTTCCTCCTAGAGAATCTAACTCGGGCACCAAGGACAGGCCAGTGTCGTGGATCAATTTCTTTGACCTCGGAGCTACGCCCGTTAATCTTCTATCTGGAACATCCAGCCTAACACCAGAAGAATCTTCACGCAAAACTAGCAACACGCCGATATCTCCCACAGTGGCACGGCCCGCCGCTCAGCACTCATTTCCACCTGAAAACAGCGATGGTCCATCCACATCTTCGCCTCACCTAGATTGGCGGATGCCCGTCAAACTCTCCGCCGCGACAGCCGCCTATCAGGAAGAAGCCCTCGCCGCTGCAGACGTCGCCCAAGAACAAAAAATATTCGTGGAGACACAGCAGAAATTCTGTGTGGTGAGAATAGGCGTGGGGATGAGAGCTAGGGATGTTCTCGAAGCTGTTGCGACAAAGGGAATGTTGCATCACCCAGACACGGGCGATCAGAGAACCGGAGGGTGGATGCTGTTCGAGGTGGTGGGTGATCTAGGCCTCGGTAGGTTACCGGCCCCACTACATTCTTAAGCTGCTGTAAGTGATGTCCCATTAGAGAGACCTTTGCGAGAGTATGAGCTGGTTGCGGAAATATTCGGTACTTGGGACAGGCATCAATCGACAAATTATTTTATCGTCAAGCGGTCAAACTTACGCAGCGTTCTGTCACTTAAGGTTTGTTTCCAACTTGCTTATAGAGCTCTATTAATGATTTTTGCCGCTAGAACATGCCATCTTCACCCCCCATTAACCAAGGCGTTGTGCAATGGAGATCGAGGAAGGGAAAGTGGTCTAAGCGAAGCTTACGACTGTGCGAACATTCGTTACTCATTTCAAAGAAAGATAGTGTAGGGGTTCTTCAATCAACTCCTGTGCTAGGAAGTGACAACTTATAATATGTGCCATAGGGTAAAGATGAGGAGTTGCTTTGCTCTCTCGGAAACTTCGATGCATACACTATGTCAAGAGACTACCGCTCTCCGAAGCCATATGTCTTTGCACTCCGGTCGACAGACAGTCCAAGGATATTCGAAGACCTGAACGATTCGGTCCATATCTTTTCTTGCGAAAAGGGTGATGGGGAGCACTGGGTGCAGACAGTTATGTTAGCCCGAGTGCGTTTTCGTTCTAGCAATGCCATTGGGTTGCAGCTAATCCGAGTTTGAATTAGTCATACGTCCTTCGACAGGAGCGGTCTGTCCTTTTCCCGGGGCAATCGCAGATTCTTCATCCGACACGCTCCCATACCCTTCATCCTACTACCAACCTGCACAACTCGATGCCGCCCACGCATGCCACCCCTCGTGGCCTTGGACGATCTTCTACCTCAGTGAGATCGCACACTTCAACTAACTCAGCTCGCCTTCCTTCACGAAAACCAACCGTCCCATCAGCGCCTCTCATTGACCTTAATAAAAATATGTTTGCTGAAGGTTCATTACTAGCGATGGCATCACTTGCTAGCGGACCATCATGATCCCGTTGTTTCTCAATTCTGTACTTCACGATCTCTGTGTTGTAAAATTGATGCTGCTTAGTTTCGGATATGCAGTATCTCATTGCACCAGACCGATGATTGTAATTCTTGCTAACATCTCATCTCATCGTCGCTTTATATGTTCTTCCATCGTTCTCAAATATGTAACTAGGAGGCTCAAGAAATTTACTGATCACAGTTTGGGGTATGCCTCAGTGCACAAACCGGCGGTAGCCAATACGTGGACACGTTTGTTTACGTCGCATTATCCTGCGCACGCCTCCGGGCCCCAATATAGGAGGACGATTGCTCAAGGAGCGAAGGACGCGAAGTTCTGGGCGGGCTCGTCAGGTCCATAGGCTGGCTTTGCCCCCGAGCCTCGTGAGTCATGTCATACATGAAGTTGGGTGTGCATCAGGCGTCGCCTCACCAACTGTCTCGGATAGCATTCTGATGGAATCTCTGCATTGACAGGGTATAATTAGTGGTAGGGACGCAGTCGAACACTTCGAAGGACCATTTTAGTAACATCATCAGCCACTGGGCTGTTCTGTCCGGGGACAATGCTCGGGAATGGGCCCGATTGCTTGCAGCATCATGGGGACTGAATGCCAGCTGATCCACTCGTTTCAGAAGTTGGAAACATAAGCTAATTGGTATATCCCGTGCGCAACAGTTTCGAGCGTAGGGAAGAGCAGCCCTCGACTCAACCAAGTTGCCGATCGGATTCCCAAACCGATAATATGAGCCTGGGCTGCCTGCTAGTGGATGGTTGGTGCGGGTGCAACTTGTTGGAGAACGCGAATAAGTCGTACATCCGTTTCAAAGACCCAGAGCAAGTTTGTTCCAGAGCAGACTAAGAAGCGACGACAACAATAAACGATCTAGATCTTCGACGCACAACGAGGGCGACCTGTCCGCCGGTACACATGCCATCAGAGAATGGGTGCGCGAGGTTGCCGTTATTGTGAACGGCCCGAGAAAGCGATTAATCAAGTCGGAGATAGGATGAATCATATTGGGCATGGCAGATCGTTAGCGACATACTTAAGTACCTCCTTGAAGGCGCGAAGTTCCCTATCCTACTTCAGCAGCTCCTCCACAACGCGATCGTCGGGGATATTTTGAACATTTGATCCTCGATAGTTCAAACGCTTCAGAACTTCGATCTGGCGAATTCACCGCTATCAGGCACCCGGTATCAAATGATTGATTGGTCACCCACCACTTTGTTTTGAGGAAATCCTAGTGCGGTGAATTGATCAACATGTGATCGATCTAGGCCCGCTATGGCTATCTCGTCTCGTGGACCCGCAGGGTCTAGTGGCGCCACTGCGGCACTGTCTTTGGACTCCTTTCGCGGTGCACCCGCGTAGGTTTCGGCCCAATATCTAGCAGTCTCTTCGAAGGATTGTCGGGATGTCAAGTAGTGTTTGGCAACTGGAATCAAATCAAGCCTCAGATTTCATCACTTGTGAGATGCCATCCAGAGGCACTTACCCTCCGCATCCTGGGGGTCATTCGGTTCGGGACTGCACAGCAGGGATTGAAGAGAAAGGAGGGTGGATTTGAGTGTCAAAACGGGTGACCAAGCATCTTTCAAGATATCGAGACATATAGCACCCTATGGAATGAGCCCTGGTAAGTAAGTGGAGATTGTCGCGGAAGAAATCATCGTACAGAAGCTGAGGAGACGTTGGGATGGTAAACTTTCCTGTACGTTATCAAACGATAGCCTGGTCGGTGCCATTCAGTCGCAACAAAGGTGGGATCTGAACTTACGTTATGAACTTCATCTTGACTGGCTGGAATGGATATGTCTCAGGGATCACTATGTCCTGTTGTAGATGCACGCGTGCTGAGTTTTGCGTGGCCACACGATCAGAGAGTTGCCACACACCACTTCGTAGTGCCCTCCTTCATAAGGTGTGTCTGCGGGACCTGGAAATGATCCTATGAGGTGGAAAGGGCTCTCGTCCACGAGATCGACAGTGATCATGCTGGTGTTGTCCGCTTTGCAATCTATCAAACTGTCTTAGCTCAACGAGGCCAGCGCGTACACATGTGACGTTCAACGCATACCGGCAATCTCCTTGTTTAGCCGTCGAAGACGGGCGTTCATCGCGCTGAGTGGGCCGAAGGCTGGGGATATTGGAACCGCGTGTTGTGCGGGAAACTAAATCGGGACCTCGAAGCGACGTTATTATGACTTGTTGTGATTTTCCTTTTTAGTACCCGAGTCATGTCGTTTTTATCATTCAGCTACAGCAAGTTTCTGGAGCGTTTTAGTAACTTGTTCAGTCAAAGGGATCAAGTCGGAAGTGCTCCTACCATTGCGTCTCTCCAGGATATCCGGGATGCATTGGCGCAGTTGCCTGATGGTCTCCCCACTGTCGGGCTTGGGACTGAAGGGTCATTAGATCTTGTGGAACGGGTCATACTTCCGGCACTAGCTCCCGGTCATGCAGGACCTCGGTATGTGGAATGGCCAGGAATGTAGCGCACACTACAACTATCTTTTTGAAATTCTTTGTGGAACCATGAAGTTATTTTGGTTTCGTGACGGGAGGGACTCTTCCGGCCGCTCTTCAGGGTGACTTTTTGACATCAATGTACGATCAAAACGTCCAGGTACCTATTTCATTGACAGGTTGTTGACTCGCTCCTCACTGTCATTCCTACCAGGTTAACCTCCCAGTTAGTTATGGGCAGTATCCCTGGAACAACACCTTGCTAACTCCTGCCCCATCAACTGTTCTTATTCTCGAATAAAGGGGGAAAGCATAAGCACTGTTGTGGAGGCGAGGTGTCTTGAGATGCTTTTGGACTTGTTAGAGCTGCCCAAGGAGGCGTTTCCGGGTCGAACCATTACAACGGGAGCTACTGCGAGCAACATTATCGGTCTGGGTGAGTGTCAGGCATGATCAATATGCTCGGTTTGTTTTCATGGGAATGGTGTCCTTTCCAGCTTGCGGAAGAGAGTATGCCATGAAGCACGCGATGGGTGACCCTTCCTATTCCGCTGCCGAGGACGGACTGGGCAGCGCCATCATCACGATACTTGCGGATCGCCCTCATGCTTCGCTGCTGAAAGCTGCATCCTTGGTAGGGATAGGTCGCTCAAATGTATGCACCTGGAATACATATATTTGGGGCTGCTCAGCTTGTTTCGAACTTATTCTAAGGTCCTGGATGTCTCCGATCCTCAGACCCAAGCGATAAATCTGGGCATCATCGAGGAGCATCTCAAACGATCTCCCGAAGGATCTAAACGGGGCATTATCATCGCGCTTTCATATGGTGAAGTCAACACCGTAAGCTCCCATACTTCTTCAGATACGAGAGGCCGACGTTTCTTTGAGGGCGAATTCACGAATGGGGTATCAAAAGTAAAGGCGCTTTGCGATATTTATCATGCCTGGATCCACATCGACGCTGGTACGTGAGCTCTCAGCCAAGGGTGGTCCTATGTTCAAATTACACGCAGCATTTGGCGCCTTTGCGCGGGTTGTGCCTGAATTGAGACATCTTGCCTCTCACCTCGAACTGGCGGATAGCATCACCTCGGATGGTACGCTAGTGCAACTTATTTCTGCTATGGCTGAACCATCCTCCTTTACGAAGCTCACAAATGGCTCAACGTGCCTTATGACGCTGGCGTGTTCTTCTGTCGCTCTCTCGAGTTGCAAATGGCAGTATTTGGCTCATCCCCAAGAGCTGCGCCACCAGCATACCTCACTCCCCTGTCTGTCTCGAACCCCGACAATCCGGGTTGGGTGGAACCAACTCCTGACTTAATGGCTGCACTCCATATTCCTTCCCCCTTGAATATTGGAATAGAAAATTCTCGCCGATTTCGCGCGCTTCCTATATTTTGTGCCCTGATGGCGGTAGGCAAGGAGGGATATGAGGGGCTTGTTCGAAGGAATGTTGGATTCGCCCGTAAGTTGGCTGCCTGGATGTCTACCGGCGAAGGTGGCCAATGGTATGAGGTGCTGAACCTCACGCATACGCCCGCTCTTTCCGAGGCTCTGTCCGGCGAGACGCCAACTGTACCTCTGAACGTCGTCCTCTTCAGAGCCAAAGGTGGACAAAGCTGCCCTGCTATATATGACCCTTCAAAACCGGAAGGGCCGGCTAGGCTGGTTCAAGCAATCAATGCGACTCGCAAGGTTTACGTATCACCCGCTCTCAATGCTGTAAGAATGGCGGTTTCCAACTGGATGACCGGACTCTCGTGCTCCAATGTGGACGGAAGAGATGTGGACATAGATTTCGAGGTCGTAGTTGAGGCTTTAAGTAACGTAATGAAGTGATCATGTCAAAGGATCGTACAATCGGCTGAATAGTGCATTCACCAAATAATACATGACCAAAGGTAACTGAAGGTCACAACACCTTCACCCTTAGTAGGACCGAATACTTACATTCGGAAATGAATGGTCGAACTATTTGTTGAAATAGACTAGTCAGTTAGTGACGTAGCGCTTGCGGCTACACTCGCGCTATAACGAAGGGACCTGAGGTAAGACCAAAAGATACTCTTTATTAAGCCTAGCTAAATGTGTATTTCTACTACATCGGGGCTATGCTACAGAACGACTGACGCATGGTCGCATCGGGGAGGCGGTGTCGGAATAGTGGGGCTAGCATGACTTGTATTCCAACACTATTAACGAAAAACAAAAGTCAGAAAGGACGAAAGACAGAAAATAAGACCGGGATAAAAAAAGGAATACGGCGGATGCCAAAAGGACAGGCTGATGTGTGCAGCAGGCGCAAGGAACTGTACAACGGTAGGTGCGAAGATGGCACAGAGGCCGAAGCGTCCAGCAAACGAAAGAAAAGAATACAACGTACCGATACACAAGGACAACAAATACGCCAGAAAATACAAACGATAAGATAGTCTTTGACATGAACTTGAGAACCATGGAGGATCAGTACTATTGGAACTTCAGCGGACCGAAACTACATACCTCGGTGCCTTAGAGCTGCTCCGCGCGCATTGCCGGAAGGGGGGGGCTTCGCGAGGTCGGAAGCTCCAGCAGGCTTTCCACAGGCCGTTCGGTGTCTGCCTTTGCATACACCCGCCAGCAAGGGCAGCCTGGCCTCGATGCCACTGTTCTAGCTTGACGTGAGTGCTGGGTAAGAGGTAAGATGTGTCAGACAAGTCCATACGAAACCTTCGCATCCAACTAAAATCAGGCTTACGATTCTCCCCCAAATGTTGGTTCGCCGACCACAAGGTCGTGCACACTTTGTTGTGTTCATGTCTTGTGTGCGACGGGATGGGATCCGAAAATGTCATGGTGATGGCTGGAAGGTGGGGCGGGTTCAAGTTTGCGTTTCCTACTCAAAGGTTGCATCCGACTTCAGCGCCGCGCGCTCACCGCTACACGTCCACACATAAGTCAATTGTGTTTTTATGGATCCTGGCGCTGTAACTATACTAGGCGCTTTGTGGCTTGAAAGCCCACTGTTATGTCGGACGCAGTATCAGTTCCCGTTTCCTATACAATACATACTAGATATAGAAGTGCAGCGGTCCTGCTCACGCCCCAGTCCAGAAAGCTAACAGTCCAACAGTACTAGTCTGATTGTGGAGGCACTACTTCCTCCTGTAATACATCCAAAAATCTCCATGCTCTATGAGAAATCAAGTCGTTTGATGAGAACCCAGCGTACAGAATGCAGGGATCGTGTAAGGTGCCCGAAGTGTGATGTATAGGTGATTATGCGAATAAATATACACTGGAAGGGAAGGTCCATCGTAGGTGAAGGGAAGAATGTTCTGGGCGCGCTTAACTGTTCAAGCGAGTAGAGGATAGAGCATGGCGTGATATCATCCAAGCACTCGCCGCGGTATCCACCGTACACCCTAACCCCACTATATCAATAGGAGAGCTCCTGCCAAAAACCCGCCAAGTGTTCCCAGTGTGATAAGAGATAGTTGTTTGAGTCGAGAAGTGGCGGCGTTGTACGTTATCGAACCATCTGGATTGAGTGTCAAGTTTACACTGAGCGTCTCTGTCGGTAACATATTCGGAGGGTTGGCAATCTGGTACATTGGATGTAAAGGAGCGCCGTCGAAACGGTATAGTTGTAGTTTTGGTCCGCGTTGAACGTCCTGGAAGATGCGCCATGATTGTAAGAGAATGGTGGTGTTAAATTGTTGGATAACGTTGGACTTGGCCGCGCATGGGTTTTGGACTTGCATACGGCCATCAATAGGGATTGGGTTTGCGATAATGGAGCCATTTGAGAGCCACTGGTATGTGCCATGCTGCCACAGCACAACGCCAGTGATACAGTTGGGCTGGGTTCCGTTTGCATTGAACCTAGAAGAATGAAAAGTGAGAGGAGGAAGTGGAAATGGAGTTTTTGGTCAATTTCTTGTGCGGATCGTCAGGACGTAATAAGTGACGCACTGGTATTCGGCTTGCTCGAAATGACCGTCCTCGGTGCTATGGGATAAGACGGGAAAGTCATTCACTCTATCGTCAGAGTCGCTTTCTCTCTCTGATATGAACGGGCTCAACGCACAATGACCATGCTATCCCAGCATTTTTTGGGTAATGGAATGAGAAGTTTAAAGGGTTGACAAAGGCCTACAGGATACGAAAGAATAACCCCAAAAGAATGGAAGATGGGCAAGTGAGCACTACTGTCCTAAGCGGCGCCACCACTTGGAACTAGGTGGTAGAGTCGGTTGGATTGAGTTTTGCACGTACTGCGCCCGTTGTCACAGCACCGCTCCCCGAACTCCATGTCCCCCCAATGGGAGTAACGTTATGAATGTCAGCTTGGGCATTAATGAGCTCTGGTATAGAGGAAAAGAACAGCGGCAAAGCAGCCGTTAAAGGAGAGATGAAAACCATATCGTTGGACAGCGTGAAGAGAGCAAGTGATCGTTGAGGTCAACGGCCTCAATGATAATTCGGAGTTAGCGGTAATGTCCGTTAACTCCTTTTTTGGCGTCTCGTATCAACGCCTATCATCATCGACGACAGACTCCCCAAAGTAGCACCAGTGCTTATCATAAGGCAATATCTATCTGTTAGATTTCTCCCGTAGCGAGTTGAGTGCTACAGCATAATATTTGTTATCAATGTCAAACTTGCTCGTACCAGTATCTATGAGCTATCTTCCATATTCCTGGTTTCATTCTTGGAGTTACATGCCTATTCAGAGGACGCTCATATTGTATTAACATCTTCGCAGTCTACAACTGATTGTTTTGACGCCAGTTCTTGATCTCTGTGCTGGGCTAGAAATTTCAACCGCCGTGCATCTATAGATATTTATATACACCAGGCCTATGTAAAGTCATGATACGGATTTAATGTGCACCTTTATCTGTAAAGGCGATAAGAGAACAATGAACATACAGTTGCATCGACAGGAGGAAACGCATCAAAGTTTATTTGGCACTATTTGGGTCGGCAGTTGAACGCGGCTGGCCATTGGAATGGTATATTGAAAAGGACATTCAACGCATGGAAGGCAACTGCCCATAGGCATGGCAGGGAATAAGGTATATGAGCGATATTGCCCGATTCGACGCCAATTTGACGTGTAGTCCTCAGCTGTTCACCTCTGAAGTTAGCGATTCTAACGGGCTTCACCACACACCCTTAGTGTTCTACCTTCACGAATCTCTTCCGAAACGATTAAGGGATGCTTTACGTCCGATTATCAAGGCATGTATGCTTCGGCAGTTGAAGGACTATTCTTTATCTCCACTCGTTATCCTTGCCACAGGAACATGGAGGCGTAGTTACGACGACGAATGACTTGGGGCCTTCGCTCAATTATATCCTTGTTGATTTCCAGTCAAAGGAAGGACGGAAATTCGCGCAAGAATGGAGGGAGCTAGGCCCTTCACTATGCGAACTTGCGTCTTGGACTTATGTTACTGCATGTGTTTGCGAAGATTCGCTTGTGAATCCTGATGAATTATCCAATATTCGTCCTGCGCTGATCGACCCCGACTCCCGACAACCTCTGCTGGTTAATATCAACTCAAGTTTGGATGGTCTGGCGAAAGCCAGCTGGGTAGAAAAGATTGGAGTGAGTTGTATTCAACTTTTTTCCCTCCTGAGTGATTGAACGTTTCGCAGCGCAACGGTGGACTCGTCGTCAGCCGAACAGGGCAACCTCGTGTCATTATCTGTCATCCAGACTCTGGTAGATACCACCAACTTCGAAAGAGATTCAATGGGCCGAACGACCCCTTCGTCGAGTTGCCAACATGGCTCCATCAGTGCATTACACAAGGTTGTGTGATTTTTCCAAGTAGAAAACAGCCCCCAAGACCAGCTGAGGAGTGGGTTCTGCTATAGCTCGAATCAAATACAGTTAGCAATTGATGATCTGTAGGCGTCGACAGTTTACGATCGAAGACAGGGACAATCTAGTTGCCTACATTGGGACAGTTTGCCCACTCCATGTTCCATACGCATCGAGCCGCGGGGCTCCAAAACATTACCGAAATCTCGTTGCAAACGTGCCGAATTATCCTTGGGCGGTTCATCATACGTGGCAATCTTGGAGAGATCGATATCAGAAATTCAAATCCGAAATGGATCCTCTAATAGACCGATGGGTGAGGCGGAATAAATCTACAGATTTGAAGCGACGTGGGAAGGATGTTGAGAGTACCCACGGGAATGCACACGTGAAGTCATCCTCTTCGAAACAGGGGCCCCCGCCACCTCGCAGCTCTACCCAAATGATCCCAGATTTAAATTTTTCCAGCGACGCAGAACCCGGGCCTTCCAGTGGGTCCGAATCCAAATCAACCACTCGGAAACGTAAAGCTTCTGGCGACCATGATCTGAACGAGGCTGAGATGGTGAAGAAGTCAAGGCTGGAACCAGCCGGCGCTCGATCTCCAAAGGCGAGCGGTTCAGACTCCGAGCTTAACCAGTCGTAAGTTGGCCAAGCTCAGTTCCAAATAAACGCTGCTGAAAAAGAGTTAGAAGAGCTGCATCAGACAAGAGAATACTGACAGAGTAAGCAAGGTTGACAGGGTGTCTTGAGCTTTATTCTGAGTGTCCCCTCGTTCCAAGCCGGATGTCTACAAAGGCTCTTCACGATATCGTTCTACAAGGCGGGCCTTACGAGTCTTCCTCATCGCAATCCCATTTGGGCCAACCTCCTCACTCCGAAGAGATGTCTGAATTTCCTCCATTTCGAGAAGCCCACACTCAGGATAGTCGTGACCCTGTCTCTGACCATGGTACCTCTTCAATGCCACAAGCTGTCTCGCCAAGTGCCCGCAAGCAGGCTATGGGAATGGGTGCGTACCCTCTGCAGACCCCTACAGAACCCATTACGACCCCCCGCACTAAAGGGTTGAAAAGCGAGGGCTCGGTCTTTTGGTCTTCGTCGCCCCAAACTGTCAAGCCCGCTGCTCCGACTACTAGACAGAAAAGCCCTCTTTCTCCCCATTTAGCGACTCCCTCCAGGTTTGCGATGCGGGAGCCGGAACTGTTTCGCTCTTCTTCCGCCGATCACACCGCTGATCCTACCCCTGTCTCAGGAAGCGGCGAAACCACTGAGGAAGAAGACCGGGAAGATTACGATGATGTCGTCGAAGTACGGAGTCTCGTCTGTTCTTCGCCCCGCGTGGCGCCTTCAGAGTCTCCAGAGTCTCATCAATACGCGACAGAAGAGAAAGGCAAAGCGAGAGCACAGCCCCAAGGAATTCTGGGATTTTCTGACGATGACGTTGATGGAGCGCAGACCCAAGCCATGCTGGCTCACCGTCAAAGAGCCATCGATATCCAGCCTACTAGTGGGGAGGTTACCGAGGAAGAAGACTCGCAGCCTGGGACGATGACACAGGAAATGATAGCGTACCGCCAGCGAGCCATTGGTGGTTCGGGTCTGACATCTCCAAGCGGATCAAGAGTGGAAACCATCGCGGACGTTGAGCGGGAATCACAACATGGTGGCGAGTCTACCCAAGCGTTGCTTGCACACCGCCAGAGGGTGATCGCAAGTGGAAAGAACGGTTCTTCCTCCGAGATTGTTCTAGATGAAAGGGGATTCGGGAGTGAAAATGCTAACTTCTCTGACGAGGACGCAGAAACACGACTCGAGAATGTCGCGGGTCCTGCGACGGAAGGACTATCCGCTCATCGCAGTTCTTCTCGCTCTCGTGGTCCAATTTCCAATGGTGAAGCCCCTTCATGGAGCAGCTCAGCGTCAACGCCATTCCCATCTCATAAAAAGCGCATGGGCGACGTCCGCGAGATCGACCTCTCGGTGCCTAGGTCCCGACACCAATCAAGTCCCTACAATCTTCAATCCCGTGAAAGGAATGGTTCAGTATCTCATCTTACAGAACTTGTCATCAACGATTCTGTGTCAACTTCCGTTTTATCCCCAGAGAATGCGAGTTCTCCAAGGATACCACCTGCCTTTGTCAGCGTTCGTAATCGTCGGATCGCGAAAGCACTGGCCAAGATGGCGAAGAAATTCGATTTCATCCCAGAAGACGTTCTGGACACATATAACTTCTTCGGAGGTGACTTGCAGAAAACACACAATCTCCTCGAGCGAAATCGGAGGTTTTTAGATGAACAAAGTCAGTGTGGGACTCAACAATAGTTCCATTATTTTGCACTCCGCAATTCCACAACACGAGTAAAAGATCTGGTATACATCTGCGGGACTGTGCCCTTCCGTTCTACTGTCGCTTAAACAATGCCGCCTTGGGATGGATACGCGAGGTACCATGAGCGCCGTCAATTCCATCCCACCACTGGTAATCAATGGTGGAAGTTGGCGGGAGCGGCAAACATCCGTTGCTTTAAACTGGGAGGAAGGTTGCGAAGTGTACGCCAAACTGGCTTCGGAGCTGCACGTCATCCCCTGAGTTCTTGTAGACACTGACAGTTAAATTCCAGCACCTTAGCCAGATTGCGGTTGAGCGGTCCGTCTGCGAGTTGTGTAACACATCTACATCTTCTAATACCTTACACTTAAAGCCAATGACCGGATGTCACCGGGACGCTGATTGGATGCCTTTGCGATCGCTTCGCCCCACTTTTATTGGATTGCACTTTATGCAGCTTTGCATGTTGTTAACTCCGAACCTTTACTCGTCGTGCCGTACCGGCCTGATGCATTTTTTTTTTTCATGAACAGTATCTGAGGGTCTAGGAACGCGGGGAAGTGAGATAGTACATATGCCCTGCAGTCGATCACCGAGAGAGGCGAGAAGTGTGGATGGAATTCGTATATATGTGCACGGTCGATCGGAAAGATAAGAAAACTGGAGATCGAACAGAGACAAGAAAAACTGGAAGAAGATGAGGCTCGCGCGATTATTCCGCGGCGATATATGCACGGTTCCCCGGAGCCGCAATTCTTACGACAGGTAGTTGTGCATTGGGACATTATGCCAAATTCCACCTGATCCCTCGCCGGTCGATTATGTAAATGCGATCACCGATCCAGGGATACAATCGGGAATTGTACAACTACAGCAGTATGATGAAATGTATCGGCCCACTCGGCCAGCTCCTCGACAATCCTGAGCTTGCCACCGCGATCACCTCACCACGCAAGTGTCCCCACAATGCTGACACGATTTTCCCCGAAAAAGGGTTTACAGACGCCCCAGAAGATGACATTCTCCCTTGGTTTTTGAGCATTTGAACAGTGACGTGGTCCCCGAGGGCCTTACTACTCAGCTGAATGGCGGTTTGCAGCTGGCATCAACTTCCGTTGAAGACCTTGGCGAGAACTCCCCTCTTTCTAACTTTGGAGGGACTTGACCGAGGGAGGCATGTCAGACGTACGCGCGATCTGGAGGAGCGGCGGCGGCAGGAGCAGACCCGTTTTTGATTATATAATGTAGTTTCCGTTTTTGGAAATATATAACTAAAATTACTGCTTCTTAGAAATCAATCAACAACCCAGGTTGGTTGTGAGCGCTCGACGTGAACGGGAAGCAGTCTGTTGTTTGCAATTCGGCGAGGCTCGTCCGGGCTCCTCGTTCAACTGTGGTCTCCTTGCGGATTACTCCACCACTTAAAGCGAATATGTTTGAGGTGTTGAAATCCTTGTTTTCTTGGTACGCTGTGGACTGTCCATTGAGTCCGTCGGACTATACATCTTGCGCACGGGCATTTCCATGAAGGATTGCCCGATGCTTCTACTTTTGGCATCCATGTTGATGAACGCAGTCGAGGATGGCTTAAAAGCCACCTCGCGCGATTTTTCTCTTTCCTCTCTCCTCAGTTCACATCTTTGGAACTGAGGTGAGACTCCTTTTTTCATCACTTGGAATATTGTCTAATCTTGTACATATTTCCTAGCGCTAATTCGCGACTAGGTAATGACTAATAATACTTAGTTCACATCTTTGGAACTGAGCGCTAATTCGCGACTAGTTCATAATTTCAATAGGTTATTTGCCCAGTCAACTCTGAACCTAGTGAACTCCGGACCCTATCCTTCCTTCCCCACTCCCCATGTCCCAAACCAGCTCAAACCCAGCTGCTACTGCAGCCGCTACCACCACTTCCTCATCAATCGACAACCCTAGATTTCCTATCGTGGCCTTAGATGCCGAGGGTAAGAATTATCGAATATGGGCATCGAGAATGGAATCCGTCCTCAAAGTCGGGCATATGTGGAACGTAGTCAAAGCTGTGTCGGACGGCGGAGAACCTACCACCTTGGACAACTGATATCTAGGCCTATAGAGGGGGGTTCTCAGGACGTTTGATGAGGGCCTAGAGGCTCTTATTGTATGGGAACATCCTAGGACGTCCTGACACGTCCTAACAATTCAGTTTCAATTCAAACCTAGCATCAACGTCCTGGGACGTCCTAGGATGTCCTTGCAATTCAAACAAAAGTCGCACATCCGTTATTATCACCGACCACGCACAGATGGTAGTAAGCCTTTCATTGGACAAAAAATACACGTGTAAATACAAGAAATATTGGTTGCAAGAAATCTTACCAAGAACATTACTATGCTGACAACAGTATTAGTCGCAAGAAATTAAGGGAAATTGTATCAAGAAAATACAAGACAACAGTCGCAAGAAATTGCCAAAAAAATTAAGAGAAATTGTATCAAGAAAGCACAGGAACGGGTGATCTGCACGGAATTATATGATTCAAGATGGAGTGGCTAAACAGTCAAGTGTGTAGTTCCAAGACCGAAGTATGCAATCACGACAAAGTTCATATGGTCTCACTCCCAGAGGTCAGGTACGTCCTGAAACGGAATAAAGGACCAGCCTGGATCTACAGTAGAAAAGGCAAGGTTCGGATCATCTGGATCGCCTGGGCCAGTCGGCAGAAAGGGAGCAGGAGTTTCAGATAGGTTCCCAAGAGTTGCGCCACTGAAGCTCAGCTGCACATTTGGTTGGCTGTGCAACCCAACGGGGAAATATGATTGTTGATTCTGGAGCATTGCAGGCATGCTTGCCTGATGGAAAGAAGTCTGAGCATCTTGAGAGCCTGGTAGCATCGATGTGCCCTGGACATTTCTATTAGCTTCCACATGGCCTCCAAGAAAAGGTGATGAAGATGTGGCGGAAGACGACGGGGCAACAATAGGATAGGAAGATGAAGACGACCCAAGGAAAGATGTATGGGGAAGGCAATTGTCTGAGTCGTCATCCGGGCCAATGATCGGCTGAGACTTAGGTTGGCGTCGATAGGCCAAACGTTTCTTGGCTGCTCGTTCATTGGGAGCGGGCCGACCAACAGGGTCCGTAGCACTGCGCTTCCATGGCACGGATGTCGATGGAACAGATGTGGGCGTTTCATCCATCTCTACATCCTCATCTCTGATTGGCCCCGCATGTGTCCACATTGGATGTCGGGCCTGCGAAACAGAGACCAAGGTCGCACCAGAAACGCTTGAGATGACAGCGGCCTGATCATCCTGCACAGTTAATGGGCGAACCTTAGGTCTCTGATCAGGTGGAAGCTTCATGATCTGCCGCCAGAGCGCTTTGAATACCCCATCCGAAACCAGCTTGACAGAATGTTCCTTGAAAAGCTTGTAATAATTGAACATTTCGTCATCGGGCCACTGGGTGAGACAAGAGCGTGCCTGAAGCAGCTTGGCTGGTAGCTGTCCCCAGGGGAATTTCTTGTCCATAGGGTTAGCACCCATGATAGAAGAGGGCAGCTGTTCGACGAGATGTAACCGAAGCGAGGACCTACACTCATCACGGGTCTTAGGCGTCGGCGGTGGGTGAAATGTTCCTCCTTGAGGCCCTTCAGACACACCATCATGATTCGCTATAAACTCGCGCATCCGTTTGATGAGTATTGTGTTCGAGCCAGAAAGAGATTTAAAGAAGGCTTCGATAGCACGGGAGTTCGTAATTACACCATTTGCGCTGCGCGTCACAGGATGATCTGTTGTGGAGACGACAACAAGCGCCATGTGAATACCATTTGGCCTGGCCCATGCCAAATCTTTAGCAATGCGACTCATATAAAGATTCATATTCTTCGCTTGAACGTGTGGATCAGAGGCCAGCCTCTGGAGGATTCCTTTGTTGCTCTCATTTTGCTGTTCGATGACTCCGCTTGCCCATGCCTTCCAGCCAGGTGAAGTCTTCCCACCAAGGTCTTTCATATGATCATCGTATTCCTTTCGAATATCCGCCTCCGTACACTTTTGTCCTTCCGTAGAAAGGGAATCAGGCGCCTGCCTCTTCAGACAAATGAGACCTCTTTTGTGGAGGCTCTCAAATGCATTCCAGGCATTTCCGGAGTGGCGCCAATGTTTTGTGGTAATCATGCAGTTGGCTGACCGAAGTACGAGATCTGGAGATTTTTTCCACTGCTTCGCATAATCTATCAGCGTACTGATGTGCTGGTTCACCAGTTTCTGAATGATTTCCCGTTGATTCACAGTCAAGGGGCCACCACGCAAGCCAATAATCCGTGACGTGCCTGACTCTGTGTCAACTGGCTCGAGACTGTCCTCATCGGTGTCCATTGCGGTGAGACCCGCCAAGTCGGAGGCAACGGTATCACCTAGTTCATCCGCATTTGCACCTGGCACCTCCTCCGAATGAAAAGGAGCTCTGCTCCTTGCTGATCAGCCAATGGAACATCGGAGTCAGCATCGGGAGAGGTTGGGACTCGAGAGGGTGGAGGGGTGGAGGGATCCTGCAGGATGGGTGGTGATTGATACACTGGATTCACAGTTGGACGGGGCAGCGGGGTTCCTGGTCTGGCATCAACGTGACTAGATGAATTCCCTTGCGCGGAAGAGGTATGTTCACCATGCTCCCGTGGTCGTGGTCGAGGGACTGTGAAGGGCAGATCTGATTGGCTGAGACCTGAGTCGTCATTTGAGTCTGGAGCTAACAAGGAACTACGGGTTCCTTCTGGAACTACGTCCAACAAGCCTCGCCGCCGTGATCGTGTAGGGTTCAGGGATGGAGATCCTTGGTCATGAGTGGGAAGGATGGGAACCAAGCAAGACTGCCTTTGGGGGGATGGTTCTCGGGTCACAGGTACACAAGAAGTTTCATTAAATGTTGAACCAGTCGCTGCTTGACATTCGATCGTAGAATCTTTCGCAACGGAAGGTGATGACGGAGCGGTAGATGTCTTGGCGGAATGGCGGCGAGCACTTTGAGTATATGTGGCGTTCTCCCGAGATTCAATGAGACGGGCAGAGGGCTTGCGAGCTCGTCCAGATGTGCGTTCCATTGTAAAGTAGAACCAGGTCAACCACGAGAATGCAGTAGACACACTTCGGTGTACAGCAATAAATCGGGTCTAAAGGCCGACACGCTTTCTGGACAGATAGAGAATCCGCAATGCTGAAGAGATAGGCCCAGCCAGACGATGTGCCTGCCAGAAACTTGCGCAAATCCGAAGACCTCAAGCTGCAGAAACAGCTCTCAGGGCTTGTGCTTTAAGAAAACGCCGTAATCTAGCGACCAAATACTAACGCTGTCACAGAGTTGCGCAGTGAGAGATAAGGGGGCACTAGATGCAGCAGTTCCGCCTAAAGTTTCAAAAGACGACGTTTTTCAGAGATTATAAGGAAAAGGCAATGGTTTTCATGACCCACTAACCTTGCAGTCCCGGGGAGGAAATAGAAAAAAGTCAAACCTAAATTCCGACCTCGCAGGACTGACGAACTCAAGCCGCAAAAACAGCTATCAGTCGTACAGGGACTACGAAAACCTGGTGTTAAGACAGGAAAACTAAGAGACACCAATGTCAGGCTGATTACACGTAAAAAACGCGTCAAGCATTGCTCTGACGCTCACTCACCTCAAGCGCTGAGGAAAATTGTTCTCGACCCAAATAGGCTTCAACAAATACCCCCGGAGACACAATAAGCAGGGCTTCCGTGGATTTTCAGTACCCGCTACTCCATAGCGGGAGCTATATTCGCCCTAGGACTCAATCTTGTCTGCTGTTACTGACAATCCCTTGCTCACAATACATCGGGTCTACACATAACATCCTCAACATTAATTATTATCAGTATATACAGCACTATTATGATACTGGGAGCAAAAAGATAGAAAGAAAACAAATGAACGATGTGGCAAATATAACTACAGAAAATCGATTGTCCATCGCCGAAGTATGCTCGATGATAGTGGTGCCACACATGTAGAAGAATGCAAATATTGAAAATTAAGACATAAGAATACAGCGGAGGCCTTACTTCACCTTGAAGTAAGGACAATAATCCTTGATGGCAGTGTCGACGGTGAGTCGCCATTTTCGTTGCCCTCTGAGATACTGAAATGATTCTGTCTTCTCCTTCGACTCTCTGCAAATGACGTCTTGGGAGTTCTCGCAGAGATACTCCAAGAGATTCCGAAGAGCAGCGTCAATAACTGACTCAGTCCGCCAGATTTCCGCCATGAATGCTTTCCTTCCCTTGAACAGAGCCGAATCATATGCACGTGCGACGAACATAAAACGAGTCACCCCATAACTCTTGAATTGCAATGGCATCGTGTCATACCAAGCATCGAGGACATGTGGGCTGAAATCAAAGGAATGCAGCTTTACATTCCTCGGGGTGGCTTGAGCCTCAGTTGACACGAGCGGATCAAATCCATGATAAAGGAGTTCTTCGCCAACGTTGTCATTTGTCAGGACCAGCGGCGCATCTGTGAGAAGTCTTGAGCGAAGCTCCTCAAATGGGACACTCTCCCAAACACAACCCACGAAGTGAAGGTCAACCTTGGATACCCAGGAATATGATGCCGCTTCTTTCCCGGAGAATGGATCCAAAGGACTGAAGATTGCGAAAGCAAGCAGGGCATGATAGTGTGCGTTGTTCTCCGAGATGAGCTGAGTGACTCGGTCGAGAACATCACGGTGCTTTGCAAGGATCGCAATGCGTGTTTTCCCATACTTCAAAGCCGATTTGCTTGCCTTGGCTTGAGCAACTGCATACACACCACGAACCTCAAAGAGAGGGGCTGCCCATACGTCCAAATCGGCCTTGCCGAAAGCTTGGAAATGTTTGTCTTCGAGCGGTGTTGTCAGACAATGCCAGGATGTAAATGGGATAGAATGAGGTTGGATCATGCGCAAGACGGGCACTTGCTGAGAGAGGTGGCATCCCGGCTGTGGTAGAGGCCTAGGATTTGACGAAGGGACATCTACTTGCATCTCAATGGGTGATGCAACCTGACGAGATGGACCGAGGGGACTCGGAGGGCATGAGGCGGATCGACTGCGACGATGAGAGGATTGAAGACAGCGGGAAACGGAATAAGAACGAGGGCGAGAACGAGAACGAGAACGGTCAGGGGAGCGTGAGCGAGAATGAGAGCGAGAATGAGGGGAGTGTGAGCGGCGGCAGGAGCGAGAGCTAGAATGTGAGTGATGGCGACGACGTGAAAATGGAAAGCTGAAAGGTGATCGATGGCGACGAAGTGAAGGGGGAGAGGATGAATTCCGGCGGTGGCGCACCGGGCTACGTGAACGACTCATCATCGATCGTCTATGATAGTCCCCCCTACGATCTTCACGCTTGTCATGGGGAGGCTGCCAATGCCGAGGGTGATCATGGTAAGTCTCACGATCCCTTGCAAGAACACGACCACGAGCAGGCCTGCGATTCAATGCATCACTGAGATGCTTTTGTGCGTCCCATCTTCGTCCAATAGGCCCACTCGGACACCGATAAGATCGAGTTTCCACGCGTGAAGCAGAATGTTGGGTTGTTCGACTGCCCACTTCGCGACGCCCCTCGTCAAGTTCCATGGAACCTGAACCTGACGCTCCGCTCATATGCAATGGTGCCGATTGTTCACCTCCATGCGTTTGAGATACAGGATCGTGCATCCTTGTCTGCAATGGTCCTGCGAGACCCATAATCCCGCTGGCAGCTGCAGCTGCAGAATGAGTCGGAGGTTCAACGAATTCCTTAACAGGACCCCGCGTTTTTGCCTGGAGTGATCCTGCAACACCCGTATCCTCATTGGCGGTCACGGGTATAGGATTCGCTTGAGGCTCCGTGAATTCCCTGATAATAAAATGTGATACTATGATTTAGAATGAAATTGACTCATCAAACATACCCTATGAGTTGCAGATACTCTCTGGATAATTGTTGACGGCGAGAGAACTCAGTTTTGTCGAGTTTCACCGGATTTGCCCACTTTCGCATACAGTACCGCTCTAGCGGTGTCTGTCTTTTACTGCCCCAGGTTGTCGATCTCACATTTTTGCCAGCCATGCCAGCGATGATATTCCCAACCTCCCGTTGCGCCTCGCCTATGCCCAGATAGGCTCGGGCGATCAAGAGAGCGCCATAGGGATGGTGCTGGGCTTCCCTTTCCTCCCGGTCATAGCGTTCATGCGTAGCTTCGAACTTCGCCAAACCCTCCTCGGTGTCATCAAACATTGGCGGATCTGGGGCTTTTTGGTACCGTTGACCAAACTCGAGGAGATCTCGACAGGGCTCCCGAACGACAGGTCCAGGGGGGGAGAACCCTCTTCCTCTGGTAGTGATTCAGGTAACTGAAGAGGTGATTCAGGTAACTGAAAGGAGTCGAATGTTTGGGGGTAAATGGAGTGAATGACCCCGAAGATATCGATACGGAATTCCTTGTTATTATCGTGGTGCTTGGCCAATAATTCAGATATTCGAGCACTCAGCTCGAATAGGGGATGTTCGCTCAAGTGCATTACACCTGTATCCAAGGATTTGGGCGAAAAACATTATTGGCGGGAATCCGAAAGTAGGAAGAGGTCGACGGACGGTGGACGGTATGGTCGTACGCTACACAAAGGGATTTGAGAGCGCCAAGCCTGCGCGCTGGGGGGGGAGAGGGGCTTCTTCGATTACGAAAAATGGAATGCCATGACGAACCAAAGGTTCGAGGTATTCTCCAAATTCGAGTTCAGGATTCGCCCCTGGACTCGACGAAAACAGTGTGCATCCTATTATTTCCCCAGTGATAGGGAAATGAGGAGGGGGCAATTCATGAAGAGAAGCAAGAAAATCGATTACTTTAAACAAGGCCCAGAGGGCCCATGCCCGTAAGTCAAGCGCGCGCATAAAAAGAAGTTTGATTGCACGCTGCATCTCAGGCTCACGCGCCGATCAAGTAATCGATCCCAGTCCTTCAGAACGTCGAACTTGCACTCGTCTGGCTTTGGCAGTGAGAGCGATACGAAGTCCGCAATATTGCTGACAGTCTTAAACACGAGAACGCATTGCTTGAGCCTACTTGCAATCTTCTCTCGCTGTATCAACCATTCGGGCTCCAAGATCTTGTAATCTTCGTACCACGATATGTTCTCATTCCAAGGATCGGTGCGGACCACCAGGCTGTACGACCGCCAAGGTCGTGATCGGTCGTAAAGGACAGGGAAGTGAGTGAAATCCCATGAAGGGGCAAAAGGATAAATGAGTAAATGTGAGGGCGTGCTCTCGTCATTGAGCCGAGGCCACTGTGTGTTGGTCGCATGTAGATTCGCAGCGATGGCTTGGGGGTGAATACCGGGAAACCGATACAAGTCCGACCATTGACTGTTCGAATGTGTCAGCTTGTATGCTGCACATACTGGTTGGGGAAGGGATCCTGATTGAGGGGCTTGAAGTCAGCGCTGAGTTCAACATAGATTAGATTAATACCATCCTTGTACTTACCGGGGAATGACTTCTTGAGGGCCTCCTCAATAGAGCTTATCCGCGTGTCGCTAATTAATGAGTTTTCCTCCAGACCGTCCCGAAAAATTGACCAACGATCTGTTGAATGTTCCAGAACGTTCTGTCCAGGCGTCCAAGATATACTAAAACGCGGTTGAGGGAGTGATTTTCCTTTTTTGGTGAAAACGAGGTCCTTGGGCAAGCGCAGCCCAAAAAGTGAACGGCTCGTTGAGGCAGTCTGGTCTGCATCAGAAATGTCAGTCTGGACCACTACCGAGGCAACGACCTCATTAGTGGGTACAGGGGCTGACGAACTCCGGCTTGCAACACCAGTGCGAGCAACTGCAGAGGTGGCGGCCTCATTAGTGGGCACGGGAGCTGATGGCCTTCCACTGCCCTTCCGCTGCGTTCGACTTGTCGAAGCACCTAAGTCGGTCTGAACAGATTCGAAGCCAACAGGCTTCTTGTCTGACACAGGGCCCACCTTGTTGAGAGTGCGATGCGTGGCGCGAGCTTTGCCTTTCATGGACCTTCCGAGGCGATTGTGCAGAAGAGACGAACAAATCACCGGAAAATTCCGTGGCCCCAAGACGACTAAAAGAAATAAATATAATGCTGGCACTAGTGAGGGTGCTTATGTGTGGTATGGCACCCTTTCCGTTAATAGGTTTCGGCAATCTTTGCTGACTGTAGATATGTAGATAAAGTTGGACGTTTCTAGGCCAAGATCGCAGACATTTCGCTGTAATTAAATTAATCTTTGAAACACCAGAGAAATCAAAAAAAGAGGGCAACAATAATTGGAATGCTGAGCGCATGCCAAATATACTTATATAATTTATTTTTGTTTGCCTCACACAACTCTGTTCTGCCTCGATCCAGACTCGGTTCTGAGCTTTTGAATTGGACCTTTCGATCAATGATGGAATGGGGTCGGGCGAAATCACATTGTCACACTGCGTCGTGTCAAATCGATGCAACTTGGCATACTCAGTAAATAAGTAACTATATGAGCTGCACTGTAGTGTACTATGTAGCTACGATGTATTTATTCAACGCGTTGCCAAAAATCTCTCGCTGCAGCGACTCTGAAATAGTTAGATACTAGGTATAGGGAGCCTTCAAATATATTTATATGGCTTCCATTTGCCAATGCGGGGTGTTGTTGCTGCCTCGATGCAACCCGAACCCAACCCAACGAGTCGGTTCCGAGGTTGTTCCGTCTGCATTCAATGATGGTGTCCCAATCAAAGCTGGCCCCGGCCGTTTTCATGAATATTGCACACGTCGATTGACGCCGACGCCCCGGCCTTACCATCTTATCGCATGAGAATTCATTCCGGGACCGTTGAATGGGCACCGTCATTCAACTCCCTCCCCACCGATTGATAACTTGCTGCACATTAAGTAAATAAATTTGCTCAATATCCCATAATTATCAAGTCATATATGATAATATTAATTATTGCAATCAATTTACACATAAACCCCTCCAGTGCCTGGGGAATATTCATGACAACATCAGGATAGGTATAGACACAATGCCGGCTCCAGGCCTTTTGAATTGAACCTTCTTTGAACAATTGAAACGAACAACTGTGTGTTTGCAACGATGTCCGGCCCTTCTGAGGCTCGCCCCGGAGGTGGAAATATGGTGCCTCCATGCCAGTGTGGCAATCAACGTAAGTTCAAGCGATTTTGTACAAGCATGGCCCGGCTGGTACTCACCGTGTTGAAACTTAGGTGTGGGATTCAGGGACCGTAACCACAGCGATGTTATCTATCGTTGTGCTGGAAGAGGACCACAATGTAATGGGGTTTGTGAGTACATAGGAGTGGGCTGCTGTATTCCGGAGCGGTTTCCTCATTTTGGGCCAGATGTTTTCGCCAAGATGGACGAGGAAGATCTTTTGGGTTTGCTTGGACGGAGCATTCAGCAGGCATGGTGCGCCAGTTCATCTCTCATTTCGTTTCATACCGTATTTCACTGATTCTGGTTCTTAATACAGCCGTGATCGAGTAGCGCTGTCAGAAATTCGTAATGCTGTTGCATCATCCGCCGACGCCCAAGGCTCTGGACAACCTGGATTTCTACCTCAACATTCCCCGATCTCTCCCGTTCAATTAGGCAATCAGGGGCTTCCGTTACAACCCGCCGGTGTGTCTCTGTGCGATTATCACGCCGCCTGCACCGATCGTGAGCGTCTTGGACTGTTGTTGGAAATGAAAAGATCACTGCAATCGCTGAATGAAGATATTCGGGAATTGACTCAACGTCTCCTTCTCAATCTCGAGCAGGCCCGGTTGAGGCTTCGTGAGATCGATGAGGAAATCGCTGCAATAAATGGTCGTCATTCTTAGACCTTCCATTTTTTTTTGGTTCTTATTTATCCTATTACTTTGGCTTGCACTCATGTATGTATTCTTGGGCATAGATGCATGTTTTGTTTCTTGGAATGTGCGTGTACACCTCGGCGAAGTAAATCGACCTAGTAAGGAGTCGACCAATAATGGATGTGCAAAGATGCGACCCAAATAATTATGTGAGAACTGCACTATTGGTTGATTGGTGTGTCGTTGTTTGTTTACATCGATGCCATGTTGAAGCGTGCAGTTTAAGTTGCAACCACCACGTCAGCACCCGCACGCGCCAGACGTCGACTGAGACAAAGCGAACTGCTGCTCGCTGAGTCCTGTTGACCTTGGTTCTGAGCTCACATAAGGTTGGAGAATGTGTTGGATGATGCACAGGTCATGACGCCGCGCCGGTACGCACATCGATCTATGTTCACATCTTCCACAGATATTCCTTTTTCCCATGTCTTACCTCCACGTAACGCTACGGCGTTTCATGCGTAGCAGCGTGCAGCGTGCAGCGTGCGCCATATGTCTCGCTGTCTGTTTCGCCGCTTCCGCTTCGCTACGTTTCACTTGTAGCGTTATCATCATCTTATTTCTTGATTACTTTTGTCTGATACGTTGTTATTATCTTATACCGCCGCGCGGTTACATGTTCAGCTCTGTCCTCTCCCTCTCGTTCGAGGGTCCCCGCCGAGTGCTACGTAACAACGGAATGTGTCGGGGGGATTCGTTGTTGTTGTTGTTGTTTGTTTATGTTGATAACATGTTGAAAGGTTCCAACCCACCACCACATCAGCACCAGCACGGCCGGACAGAAGCGGACTTCGGTGAGTCCTGCCGACTCTCATCCTTGTCCTTGTTTGTTTGCATTGTTGAAACTGTTCACACCACGTTAGCGCGCACCAGACCTCAGCTGAAATGAAGCGGACCGTTGTTCGATGTCGTTGTTTGTTTGCGTCGATACCATGTTGAAACGTTCCTTCCTTGTAACCGCGACGTTACTACTCGCACGCGCTAGTCTTGACTTTGGCTTGGAGCATTGGTGTGATTTAGGAAGTGTCTCTTTCGAACTGAATTAGGTGTGTCTTGGGCCCTTGTCTCCGCCAGCTTCATTACCTTCACCGTCGCTTACGTCGTTTATGCTAGATTCGAGGCGCTTCAGCTGTCCAGGCCACCGCCCTGACTGTGTCCAAACTGGGTGCATGCCTGGTGAGGCCCAGTCAATGCGGGTTGCACACCTTTTATTAAACTGATTCACCTGGTGTTCCTCATTGGGATTTTTTTCTTGTCAAGTCGCTATCTAGTTTGTATATTTCCATTGCTGTCACGATGCGTGCCTCTGTGCCTCGACTATTCTAGACTGGGCAACCCATGCCTGGAAAGGTTTGTCGACGCAAGGCTTGTGTCAAACCGTCACTTTGTATCTAGTCTGTATATTGTCGCGATACGTGCCTCTGCCCCGACTATCCTAGACTGGGCAACCTATGCCTGGAAAGGTTTGTCGACGCAAGGCTTTTGTCAAACCGTCACTTTGTATCTAATCTGTATATTGTCGCGATACCTGCCTCTGTGCCCCAACTATCCTAGACTGGGCAACCTATGCCCGGGAAGGTTTGTCGACGCAAGGCTTGTGTCGAACCAACTATACATAGCCAAGGTCAGTACCCCCACTTTGTATCTAGCCTATATATTGTCACGATACGTGCCTGTGTGCCCCGACTATCCTAGACTGGGCAACCCATGCCTGGAAAGGTTTGTCGACGCAAGGCTTGTGTCAAACCGTCACTTTGTATCTAGTCTGTATATTGTCGCGATACGTGCCTGTGTGCCCCGACTATCCTAGACTGGGCAACCTATTGCCTGGGGGGGGTTTGTCGACGCAAGGCTTGTGTCAAACCAGCCATACTTAGCCGAGGCCAGTATCCTGAGGTGTTGCGAAGTCACTTTGTATCTAGTCTGTATATTGTCACGATGCGTGCCTCTGTGCCCGACTATCCTAGACTGGGCAACCTATGCCTGGAAAGGTTTGTCGACGCAAGGCTTGTGTCAAACCAGTCATACTTAGCCGAGGTGTGCATCCCGCAAAGTCAGATCTAGGCTTGCATGCGCGTGACTGCATTCTTTGAGAGCAGGGGGTTATTGCTGTAAACCTAAACCATTAACTCGGCCGACGGTATTGACCCCTCATTTGTGCTATTCATGTCGTTCATCCCGCTCATCGATTCTGCCAAACGACGCCAGCGTGCAGCGAGCAAACCTAAGCCAACGCAACCTAAGAAGAGAAAGACGAACCCTGTTGGAGATGCCCTTGATCGAGTGATCCCTGTCCCTGGTCGTTCAGTGGATGCTTCACAGCCCAGTTTGCAAGCAGACACAAGTCAACGATCAGTGGAGGATGGTGATTTTACGGCGTTCATTCCACTTGATGTTGCGTACAGGGATCCGACGCCGCCTCCTGAGCAGCATGTTGTTCGCTCAACTCGTAACAATGCCAACTTACAATCACTCCATGCGCGCCGTCGTTTACGTCAGGCAGACCATTGGAAAGACTCTGTTATCGTGACTGTCATGCGTGTCTACATGGAGCGAATGAGGATTTACCGCTCAAAGCTGCCTACGAGCGCTTCTGCAATGTTAACGCAGTTCGTATCTGATGTATGCGATTGTGGGGAGGTTCACAATTCTCTCACCGTGCTCGGGATATTTTGGGATCGTCATGAAACCATCAGCATCCTTACTTGCCGTCGTAGACCTGCTGCAAATCAACTCATTGCGAGAGGGCTCTTTCCTTGCGCTCCCTACCGCCCGTCCTTGGCGGTATCTCTGGAGATGCTGGAATTTGCAACTGAGCTATTTGCCCGCATGGCACCAAACAACAGAGCGTTTGCAGCTGCCACTGAGGCCGTTCTTGCTGCCAATGGATCTACATTCCAAAGCGAGGACTCACTTCGGCGCCGCTTTGCCAACACGCTTCTCCATTATCAAATACTTGTTGAGGAGGTCCATGCTGAGGTTCAGCGTCTGGCACGGGTCAGCCTTCCATTGTCCAACCCAAGCGACACGCGCTCTGTTGAGAATCACCTAATAAAGTTGGACGAATCAACCCCGCTCGACGCGCGTCGATACATTAATGCCCAACACACAACTGCCATACCTGATCAACTACCTTCCAATACAACTCCCACCACCTTGTCGGACGCAGAGTCTCTCAAATCTCAAAGCACGAGTGAGTATCTTCGGTCGCGCTGTCCGTTGTGCTTCGGCGGCACACACGCTATGTCGCTGGAACTCCTCGCGCAATGTATTGTTTGTCTGGATGCCAATTTCCAGCTCAAGAGGAAATGTGACCAAGACATGCGCCGTGGCAAAGGAGGGCAAGGTTCCAAAGATCCACGATATCTTTCACCCCGTACCATCATTCTTGATCAGGCATTTGTGGAATACTGGCAAGCCATTGCGGAGAAGGAACGTCATCCTTTGCGAGGCACTCGGCAGAGACTATCTACTCTTGGGCTTCACAATAGGAATACAGCTGGTGGTGCCCACCAGGCTGCACAAGAAGTGCCGGAGGAGGACAAGGTTGAACATGGCTTGCCTGGCCCAAATTCAATGTACGATGCATGTGGCCAGTCTTTCATTGCCGCCGATGGCGACCGTGTTAAGGCTTCTACCCGAATGTTTGGGGACACTGGCGTCATGGCAATGGTCTGTCCGCACGACATTCCATTGTTCCTTGTGAATATGTGGACTGCAGGGGAAAAGCAATTTTATGCCCTTGCTCTCTTATCGGCGCTCCTGCAGCATATTCCATCGTCTTGGAAAGTTGGTGTTCTATACGATATTGGATGTCAGATGGATCGTGCGCTCAAAAAGTGGGATTTTGCCCCAGAATGGCGGACCCGGCTTGTGTGGGGTGTGTCAATATTTCACGCGTATGGCCATCAGTACAGCTGTCAGCTCTGGTATCACCCTCGGAAAAGTGTCATCTGGGGCCTCACTGATGGTGAAGGCTGTGAGCGATTCTGGAGTGAGCTACGACGGTTGATTCCTGGACTGCGTGTCACCGGTTATCATCGGCGTCTGTTCATTCTTGACACCCAGGTAGCCTATGTTGACGCACAGAAGTTTCCATTCTTTGGAAAGTGGTTACATGCACGCGTGCTGAAGGCCCGGGGGAAGGAGGAAGAGGCTTTGGGAAAGCTCAGTGATTGTTCCATTGAACAACTGATGGTATATTTCACTGAGCAGCGAGCTCATCACTCCAAACCCCAACAGCGTCAGTCAAGAACAGCTGCTCAGAAGCACATTGACCGTATCCTTAATCTCACGGCCACGTTGGACCTGCAAAAAAGAATTCATGAGGATTTGGGGCAACAGGGTACTGCTCTTCAGGATCCGACTGATTCCATTGGTCATGCCCTTCGTGCTGACTGGCAAGAGAAGTTCGAACAGAGTGAGCGGAAGTTGGTGCACTTGGAGGGAAAGATTCGTAGTGAGACGGTGTCCCTTCAATCAACGAGACCCACGGACTTCTCTGAGCTCCAAAAACTGAAGAAGGACAAATGGACAAACGAGATGTTGAATCTCCGTGTCATCAAGGACCAGCTCCTTCACAAACTACGTGCCCGGAAAGCTGAGTTGAGCGTCCTGGACCGAACCCATGCTGCTCGGGCTTTGGACCAGAGCATGAAAGCCCACGTCGAGAAGGCAGTAAATAGACGTTCAAGTGGCATTGAGTCCACGCTGTCGAAGTACAATGATAAGCTGAAAGAACTTGGTGCACTCCGGGCGCTTGATCCAACCCGTCACCATGTTTATTTACCGCCAATCATCCTACGCAGCGACTTGTACAAGCTTGATATCGACCAGGGCATTTGGGAAGATTGTGATTGGTCCCAATTTCCTGATGGTACTCTTCCTTGTTGGCTCACCGATGCGAAGGTGAAGGAGCAAATTCGTCTCGCACAGCAATTACACAACAGCCGCCAGGAGCTCAGGAGGTGCAAGGCTGAGCATGCCAACCTTCGCCAGTGGTTCACTCAAGAATACCACTCATATGAAGCCCTCTACAAACATACTGAGCACCGCGACAAACCCGTGGCATTCTATGCATACGAGAAGCTGTTATTTCTCCAGCAGATTCTTGACCGATGGTGCAGTGCAACCAAAAATGTTCCGATTGCTGACGATGCTTCTGAATGGCTGTCCCCTGCGCCCCTTCAACCGTTCCAACATGGCCAGCTAAACAGGGATGTCCTCAATGACGAAGGGCTTGAGCGCATAGATGATGATGAGGAGAGCCTAGTGGCAAACAGGGACAATATCCTTCATGAAAATCTCATAAGCGACGATGATTCCTCAGACCTGGAACTTGAGGTAGATAACTATGATGAGTCTGACTTGTTCCTTGCCGCAGCCGAAGCAAGAACGCTAGCTGGTTACGATGATCCTTCCGACAGTGATTCAGACTTAGGAATGAACAATGTTGTGGCATAGCAGTTCAGCTCTCACTTTTTGTTTTTGTGTTCCCAGTTTTATTCCCGTTGATATTCTATTTGATTGTAAGCATCCCCATGAGTTGTAATAACACATGTTGATTGGTTCCTGAATACGATATACGAGGTGTTGTGAAAAATCTTAAGGACATAATTACGTTTTTTGTGCTGCAAACTTTCTCTAGAGACTCATGCTGCAGTGTACATAGCGTCGTGAGCAAACAGCATGAGAGCTGGCCTGCCCAGTGTCCAAAAGACTCGTACACTACCGGACTTAACCTTAGCTTGTGACCCCCACCCAGAATGTTTATGTTGTGTGCTAAGTAGTTTCAGGACGTCCTAGGACGTCCCAGATATTCTCACAGGTCCATTTTTGGCAGCAAGCCGCTTCACCAGGACGTCCCAGGACGTCCACAGTGGAATAGGCCATTTAGGCCCTATCTGAAGCGCAAAAAACACCCCTTGATAGGGTCTGATACTTAGCTGACTAGCCTGAACCTACACCGTCAACGACGGATCAGAATTATACGGAATGGATGGAAAAGGACGAACGCGCCTATGCCTACATCAAATGTCACATCAATGACGAGTGTATGACTTTGATCGATAATGCATCTCACGCGCGAGAGGCCTGGAAGATACTTCTGGACCGTTATATCGGTACAGGCCCCAACCAGGCAAACATGCTACATACCTCTCTCTATCAATTCCACATGGAAGATACCAGACCGCTGGAACCTCAGATCAATGAGATACGACGAGTGCGTGACCAATTGGCAGCTATGGGCCGCAAAGTCGACGACCAAGACTTTGTCGCTGCCCTCTCCTCAGCCCTCCCCGGTACTTACCACAATCTCAAAACCTTCGCCATCGTCGAGATGAAACACTCCAGACACCTAGATTCCCTAACCTTCATCGACCACATACTCGAAGAGGAACGCATGAGACGAAACGATCCCACTATCAGCGCAATATTCGCCAACTTCGCGAAGTCCAACCGCCGGGAAAAGAAAAAAGGCGAGTCAAACTCTAACAACGCGAAGTCAACAGTCCGCTGTACGAATCCCAAGTGTGGCAAGGAAGGCCACACTTTCGAGCGATGTTGGGCGGAAGGTGGCGGGTCTGAGGGTAAAAGACCGAAAAGGCCGAAGGGGAAGCGTGGTAAATCTTCGGGAACACCGAAGGAATCAGCTAAAGTGGCGACCTCTTCGGAAGCCAATGATCAAGTCTTAATTGCTGGTGTATCGGAGACGCTAAGTGCGGCACTCACGGAAGCTCGGCAAGGACGATCCGAGTGGATCGTTGATTCTGGAGCTACCGCTCACTTATGTGGTAACCGCGAATGGTTCACCACTTATCGTAGTCTGAACCCCCCTCGGAGGATCGTTCTGGGAAATAAGAAGGTGATTTTAGCACCGGGTATTGGACAAGTAAGAGTTACGTTCAACTCTGGACACTCACCACAAAATGCGACAATACGCAACGTCCTTTATTGCCCCGAAATAGCCCACAACCTCCTATCCGTCATCCAACTCAATTCTTCTGGCACGTATGCAACTTTCCAACATGGAAATTGTCAAATCTTCAACTCAGCAGATCAACTAATTGCTGTTGCACGCACCGAGAATGGTCTTTATAGACTACCCGTCACCGTCGCTGCCCTTGAAAAGGCTTACATAACTACCTCCCACTCCGACGACGCTGCTAACGTGGCGCGCACCACTACTGCGAGTGCTTCTATCGATGTATGGCACAAACGACTAGGCCACATCGCGAAAGACTCTATTTTTAAAATGATGCGTAGTGGAATGGTTAGAGGCATGGACGTGATCGGACACAGAAACAATGACGGAGCGGCTTACTGTCCAGAATGTGAGGCCTCATCCCATCACCGTAACCCCATCCCTTCCAAAACCCATACTCGCTCAGACGAAATCCTCGGTCGAGTCTTCTCCGATGTCTGCGAAACGCAAACAGTGACGCGTGAAGGGTTTAAATACTTCATCACTTTTGTCGATGATCACAGCCGATATCTTACCGTCTATCCGATGAAGAACAAGTCTGACGCACTCGAGAAGTTCAGGGACTTTCTTGCAGAGGCGGAAAGGCAGACAGGCCACAAGTTGAAGGTTCTTCGAACGGATGGTGGCGGCGAGTATTTTTCTACTGAATTCACCGAATATCTAAAGAGTATCGGCATCGTCCATGAGAAGACGAATCCACGCACACCACAGGAAAATGGGGTAGCCGAAAGGGTCAACAGGACCCTGGTGACAATGAGTATCGCCATGTTGAAGAGCGTTGAGTCGAAACTCGGCCGCTCTGCTTGGCCGTACGCGTTGCGACATGCTGCGCTAATAAAGAACGCCTCCCCCACTCCGCATTACCTGACGACATCTCTCCCTACGAACGTTACTTTGGTAATAAACCAAACCTTTCAACACTACGTACCTTTGGCTGCAAAGCCACACTCCACATTCATCGCGACCTCCGTCGTAAGCTGGATGACCGCTCCATTCCCGGCATTCACCTTGGATTGGCCCAAGGGAAGAAAGCATTCGTGATTTACGATCCCAAGACTCGGAAACTTCACGAGTCCAGGGATGTTCACTTCTTCGAAGAGTCGGATAAGGAATCAGAGCGCGTGACGATTGAGGTAGAATCACCTGATTCCCCGTCGCATGTGATCGCTCCCGGGAAGAATGATGGAATGGATAAGGTTGAGGGAGATGGAAATGGAGGAGGGGAAGATCGAGAAGATCGAGAGGGAGAAAGGGGTGAGAGTGAGGACGAAGATGGATTAGATGGAGAGAACCCACCTACACCTGTCCCCGAACCCGAAGTTCAACTGCCTGAACCACGTCGATCAACACGTATACGTCACGCACCTGTCCCGGATGACGACATCCGATATGAGGCTTCATCCTACAACAGAACGCAAAATGCCCCTGAGTTAGTGGGCGTAACTTGGGCGATGTCAGCGACAACAACAATACCGCGCACCTATAAGGAAGCCATGGATCGCCATGATTCGAATTCGTGGCTTGAGGCTTGCACTGAAGAACTTAGTGCGTTGAAGGAGACAGGGACTTACCTTCCTGTACGAAAGAGTCAAGTCGACCCTCATAACGTTGTGGGATCTAAATGGGTATTCGCATTGAAGAAGGGGGCCGATGGGGAAATAGAGCGATACAAAGCTCGCATCGTCGCGAAGGGTTTTAGTCAAATTTACGCAATCGATTATGAAGAGACTTTCGCACCCGTCGTTAAGTGGGCCTCCATACGGATTCTCCTCGCATTAGGTGCCCGTCTAGATCTGGAGATCCACCAGATGGACGTGAAGACCGCATTCCTAAACGGCGAACTCGAACACGACATTTTTATGCAACTGTCATGACCGACAAATCCCGGGGCTCCGTCAGCGGCGAACCAATGCCGATAGGCGAATCCGCCGACCCGAAACCCATCCTAACCAGCCCCCAACCCCATGTCTGGCCCCCTGCCTTACTGCGTGAGACTTGGCCAAGAATCAGAACCTAGACCCTGCCGGTATTCCGACCTTACCTCCAGTTCCTGAGCCCTTGGCGCTCCCGGCATTCAGTCACGCCTGCCTTGTCTCCATCTGAACCACACTCATCGCTTCCCGCTATGTGGTCACAGCCATGCCCCGCTTATTTGCGGACTTGTATCGGCGCCGCACGCTGACCTCCGCTTTTCCTCTGGCCATTTGTCACTTGGCAGCTTATCATTCATTCCTTGCCGAGTGCCAATTATTGTTTGCTTCCCTGCCAATATCGGCATTTGATCCCCTCTTTATTGGCACTAGGTTATTGATCTCATTCAGTTATTCATCAATAACCCTTGCCACTTATTGTTTATTGATCTGTTCCTCGTTTCCAGTTCCCGGGCTCTTGTCCTTATTTAGTTTGACAATTCCCGCTTATCTCCGCGCCAGACTGCGCCGGACTGACCGGCCTTTCTATATTCCCTCTTGCCTATTTATATACCTTGTAAATACTTTCGGGGACCAGAGTCTGAAATCAACTAGAGTACCCCCCCTGTCTGGTCTGAGTCCCTCCTTCTGCAAAGGGGGCTTCCCCCCCTCTGAGTCCGTGCTTGCGGAGTCCGCGCTCCTCCTATAGGTCCGCTCCGCCCGCAAGTCTTGTTTGAAGTCCGCTGTAAGTGTCAGTTTGTAAATACGGGATCTCCCCCAAACGTCAAGCTCAGGGCACAGCGCTCCACCTGAGTCGCTGAGGCCGCGATCCCACTCTGCTAACCTTGAACAGCGCTTCCGGACGCGCCGCATATTTCCGCCCGCATATCCGCGCGTGCGCGCTCCAACAGACCTCTGCCACAATCTCCGACACCGACAATATCCCAGCCTCTGACAAAATCCAGTCTCTGACAGTATTTCAGACTCACTCTGGGCTTGACGTTCCTCCGTCATTCCATTCTGAATTCCCGTTGCGATCCCCAACTCCGTCGCCCGGCCGATTCCGTCTTCTTTCCCACGGTCGCGCACATCCGCCAACAAACCACTCCCACTGAAGCTGGATCGCGCTCAGTAGGGATTCTGGGGTTCCCTGATGCCATCATGGCTCAAACCCGCATTCTCTGACCCTCTGGGGCCTTTTGATAGGCACTCAGAATGGGCTTTTAGGTCGCTGGATAATTTCTGGATTCACAACCTCATTCTGATCCGACTCTACCTGGCCATACCGCTTTGTGCTCTAGATTGTACCCCAATCTGCGAGCCTGAGTAGGGGCCTCTTCCTGTCCTTTCTGATCTTCCATCCAGTCATTCTGTCATCCTTATCGCGACCCCATCTGTCCTTATCTGATCTGACTTTCCAAAATCCGATCTCCGTCCGATCTGTTATCTATCGCGCCGCTAGCAAGTCGCTGGCACTCCGAGTCCGTGTGGGCATCTCTTCCAAAATCCTGGAAGTAGTTCAGTTGGGCAACCTTCATTCACTTCAACTCCGATATCCGAACATCTGG